TGCACTAGTCTTCCTCGGGGCCCTCTAAACATATTAATAATAATACAATTATGAAAACATTGTACAATAATTAAATAATACAACATGACGTAAAAGTACAAGTACAATTAAAAGTCTTTCGGCAAGTTCTATGCTGCATGTTGATAAGTTTGTGTTTGTATACGGCATATTCAGAGAATCAAATAATAGTTTAGTTTTTGAGGTCCAATTTGTTCTGTTATTTTGATTCCGATCCCAAAGGAAAATCTTCTTCGTCAGACGGTCGTTTTCTAGTGTCACCAGACGATTCCAGAATCGCAAGACGTTAATCTGATGTCGATAGTAGCATGGCATCCAACCACATTCTCCTTGGATTGCAATCAATGGGGTAAATCGGTGTACTCCTAAAAAATACCGCAAGGCGCGGGACTGCACCATCTCTGCACAATAATAATTTGTGGTTCCCTAAACTCCATTGCAGTAATCTAGAATAGGAGCAACACAGTTGAGAGATAGCTTTTCAAATGTTTCAAATCCGTCCATTTTAAGGGAGTGAATTTTAGATATCATAGATCCAAGAGCTCGTCCTCCAGATTTTCCTAAATTTTCGGCATTTTTTTTTTAAAATCAATATTCTCATCAAAGATTACACCTAAATATTTGTAAAAAGGTTCATAAGCTAAATTTTCTCCTCCTAGATAAAATGTATGAGTACTTCTTTTTTTTGCGTTTTTTCACAAAGTGAACTATTTTGGATTTATTTGGATTGATTCGAAGACGCCATTTTTTACACCACGAGTTCACAACATTGAGTATGTCCTGCATGTTCTTTTCGTTCGGAGAAATGATTGCGATATCGTCCGCATACAATAGAATACTTAAATTAAAATTTTCTTCAATCTGTACTCGTTTATTTAATGCTTTGATGGCCGTAGCGAGATCATTGATGAAAAGCGCAAATAACGTGGGCGACAAATTATCTCCCTGTCGAACTCCTGAAGAACACTCGAACCACCCTGTTTAGCGGTCTCCTATCCGGATACAAGATTCAGTGTTAAGATAGAGAGATTTTATTGCATGATAGAAGTTTCCATCGATACCATGCTTCAGCAGACTAAATTGTAGTAATTCTCTGTCGACCGTATCAAAAGGCTTCATAAGTAAGGGAAGTTGACGATTGAGAAATTAAAGTCATCACGTTTATCATATTTAGCTTTGTTTTTAGATAACCATTAACGTCTTTTTCTCGTAAAACATCCAAATATAAAACAGATGAGTCAGACTCTGTGGTATCTTATCTCAAGCTCACTGGGATATATCGTGTCGACAAATGAATGGAAATAACTATTGTTATTCAATAATACGTCATCGATAGGCCTATATCTATATGTCGAGTTGAAGGCCACAGCATGAGTTTTCTTTTTCTCATGCATAAGATCTTAAATAAATTCTGCTTATATGAATACAAAAATAGGTCTGCTAATAAGGGGGCGCAATTGGTATTCATGGGAATTCCAACAGATTGTTGGAAGACCTGGTCTCCAAAAACCAAACAGATATTGTCAATCAGAAACTCAAGCAACTTTTAATATCACCTTCAGGGTACTTGTGTGTAAAATCAGAATGTTTTTTAACAAAATAATTTTGCAAATGACCAATGACAAGGTAAGTAAATTGTGAAACATTATTTTAAGCTTCATCAGTTGAGGACAAATGTAAGAGTCCAGAAGCGTCAGTCAATTCCACCTAAAAACATTATCTTCATGCATTTAATTAATTAAGATCTTGCTAAAAAGTCGGTAATCAATAAAAATGCATTGAACCATTGAGGAAGTTTTATTTCAATAGAGAATAATACATGGCAAAATCTGTATCACACCCCATATCAACCCGAGACTCCAATATCAGCCCGAAGGCCGAAGGCCAGAGGGCTGATATTGGTCGAGGCATTCCAGTGAGGCATAAGAGGCATAAGAAATGAAATAATTATAAATTAAACAAATAATTATTTTGAATAACATAAAATATCTTATGAAAATAACAATTCAAATAAGCTTCATTAACAATAGAAAAAGATCCAATGAAAAATACAAAGATGTTCTGGAAAAGTGTAAAAAGGGCGAAATAAAGGGTGCTGATACAGGGTGTGTAATACAGGGTGTGTAATACAGTGACTCTGGACTTCTGAACTCGTGTGATGCATTGTGTTTACAATTAAAACAGAGGTTCACTCAATCATTTTTCTGATAAACATACTGTTAAGGATTCTCTATACACTGATGAAAGATGGTTTTAGGCTTTTGAGAAAATTACATCGTATAAATATGAAAATATTCATTTTCAAAATAGGGTACCTGTGATTCTCCCACGGAAAAAGAAATTCCATTAATGACAACACAATATTAATAAACAGAAATCTCTGCTGCTTACTAAATTAAATAGAGGAAACATATGCAAATAAAGTATTCAATTACTTAATCCTGGTATTATATAATGTTAAGAATACTAGTTCTTGAACTGGCTACAAACGTGTATTAACGGCAGTCGCTCGAACTGTATAAACGTACAAAGGAATTGGAACTCCCCAGTATGCAGTGTGTAGAGATCAGTATTTTAGTCAAAATCAATTATTTTGGCAAGAAACGGCTAAGTAAAAACCAGTATATGGAAATAATATTTCTTTAATTAGGAAAGGAAGGATAAATGATGTATATATATATACTGATTAACAACTCATCAAAGTCATAGCTTCTTGTATTAGTACTTCTATTTAAGTATACATTGTTTCAGACATTCCATAATCTTGTCTCCTATTTCAACAGGAAAAAGAATGTTTCCATTCAAGATTGAGCATACATGTATTTTGAAAGCAATGCAATAGGCTTCTTAGGAACAAGGCATTTCGAAAAAAAATTACACACGGTCATTGAAATTTTGGTTACCTCTACCATTGGTACGCCCTTTTTAGAAGTGTTCACCTTTATTAAGAATAAAAACAAGTCACCGTAAGAATAAATTCATCACAAATTACCAACAAAAAAAGAAAGAAAATCTAACTAAAAACCAATAAATCGTCCTCAGTATTAACTGCAGAGTTTCGGGCTAAGGAAATTAATACGCTTGAAGGCCCGGACCATTGTTCCTTTTAGGTTTACCCTTGATATATATCAGCCTCTTTTTCCGGTAAGTTATTTAAGAAATTGATTTCTAAGCCAGGTATCTTAACATGTTGGGTTTTTCTATGTTTTTCAAAGCATACATTGATATAATCACGCACCATTAGTATTCATTGCAGATTCTGACGAATTCTGAAGATCAAAGACGGCAAGAGATTTACGTGTCACTTAATCAAGGAATTTTTCATCTCAAATCAAAAGCGCAAGTTTGTAAACTGTAGGCAAAAATAGGTCAATGCAAAAGGAAATGTAGTTCAAACATTTCTATACATAACAATAGCCGATTCTTGGGAAAATGACAGAACCCAGAATTTCAATTAAAAGAAGTTTGTATTCCGTTATGCAACATTAGCCTGTTCTGTGATGTGTGAATCTAAATCGTGCATTCTCACAACAGATTGGATTGTGCATCTGAAATATTACTTCATAATTGATTCAGGTTTTAGGTTTCGCTGTTGTCTTTTTGTATCTATTCAATGAAAATGCCTTCTCACTCGATAAATCACGATAGATGAAATGGGAATCAGAGACCCACCACGAGGGAACAGACTCTTAAAGACAACGTTCTTATATTCTACAGAACAGGGGGTTTCAACAACCTTCTATTAGCTTATAATATACTTTCAACAATCTCCTATATGAAGCTTATACGTCCAACAACCTCCTGTATGCAGCTTATATATTCAATAATTTCATATATGCAGCTTATAATCTCATTAATCTCCTATGTGCAGCTAATACTTTCAATAATCTCCTAAAGCCAAGTGAAGAAAATAAACCGTGAATTTAAAAAACACTTGGCCACTCCAACCCCATCTATTATTTCCTGATTAAATCTATAATTGACAGAAAGAGGAATAAGTAGATAATTAGGTTAATTACTGGATTCTTGACTTTTGTTCAGTAATTGCTAAAACAAAATTCTGAACAAGTTTTTTTTTTAATCCTTTAATTTCAGATTGGCTTTTCTCAGAATTCCAAAATATTTGCAGGAAAAAACAATTGTAAAGACATTGAGGAAATATCAACAACACTTATACATAAGATGTAATAAATTAAATTTGTCTTATTCAAAATTATTATTGGTATGGACACCTGTGAGAATTATGGCACAATAAAGTGCTAAAAAGTAATCACTCAACATTTCATTAAATGGAATTTTACATTTTCATGCTTTAAAAAATGTTATAAAGATTCCATTCTTTAATAGATATTGCTGTTTTTTAACATTTTATTATAAAAATTAGAGTATCCAGTAATAATAAAATCTAATATTCTGACAGAAATTAAGTCTTTATTTATGATATCATCTAACTTCACTATGTTTTGGCATATGACCTTAAATTTACATTTACCACTATGGAATTTAAACTTTTAACAGGATAATAAATCTGTATAAAGAAAATGAAGATTTTTTTTTTTAATTTAGATTTTATCATTATAATTGTCAATGAAAATTGTTATTCTCATAAAAATGTGGGTTTAAATGCTGGTTCCATCATCAAGATTGCACTTTCTGAGGGAGGTGGGGTTTACAAGTTAATACAAACACAGTTATTATCTTAGAATTGCACTAAATCATGTACCATATATACATATCAAGTACAGATAAGACATGTACTTATCATGTACAGACAATACTTTTGAAATGGAAAATATTTGAAAGCACTCAGTAAAGCAATAAAATACTTAATAATCAACACGAAAAAAAAATGCATTGAACTGACAAAAATGTTCACAACAAAATAAACTATGTAAAAATCACTCATACTAATATAATACATGTATATGATATTTACATATTTACATATCTTCAAGAATTTTGAAAGACAATACACATGTAAACTTTACACCCTTATCAAACTTTACAAAACAAATATATGAAAACAGAATTATGTATAGACTATATATACAACATGTATATTCTTACTTTGTGTAGATAGGAAAAAATGTCATGATCAGTATTATCCAGGAAAAAATGTCATGATCAATATTCCATACAGGAAAAATAGAAGAAGTCAATCCCAGAAACTATGTGAAGGCTCTAAAAACTTGAAAATACATCAGATATTGTACATGTATTATACTGAATGCTCATGAAGTTTTTCAATGATGAGGATTACACAAATACCATTTCTTGTGATAAATTAAGTTTCTGGGATATTTTTTGTAGTTTGTGATCGCCTTCCGGGGCTGACATAGTCATTGTAGCAGATCTTTTCTCATTTGGCAGTGACAAAAAAATCAAATCTAGATTGAGTTCTGAAACCTATGGAATCCCTCACTATTGGCCGATTAAGTCCATAATCAAAAAAAAAAATAATGCCCTCTACAGCAAGAACAGATCTAAAAAGGCCTCTGGAGAGAGAGGTCTTGACTTGCCCTCAGAGTCACTGAAGCATGGATGCCCAATGGACTGAAACAAAACAAATTTTTAAAATTAATTTTTTTTCCCTTAAAAAAAAATTACAAAATATTTGCCTTACCTGCCAAAAAAAAGTGTTTCACAACATGACAACATATTGCCTTACCTGCCAAAAAAGTCTCTTGCAGTGACAACATATTGCTTTACATGCCAAAAAAGTATTGACTTACCTGCCAAAAAAAGTGTGTCTCAGTGACAACATATTGCCTTACCTGCCAAAAAAGTGTGTCGCAGTGATAACATATTGCCTTACCTGACAAAATAGTGTGTCACAGTGACAACATATTCCCTTGCCTACCAAAAGTGTGTAGCAGTGACAACATATTGCCTTACCTGCCAAAAAAGGGTGTCACAGTGACAACATATTGCCTTACCTGCCAAAAAAGTGTGTCTCATTGACAACATATTGCCTTACCTGCCAAAAAAGTGTGTCACAGTGACAACATATTGCCTTACCTGCCAAAAAAGTGTGTCTCATTGACAACATATTGCCTTACCTGCCAAAAAAGTGTGTCACAGTGACAACATATTGCCAAGTGGTCTGTAAAGATGTCTTTCATCCCGAAACGCCTACAAAGAAATTGAGACATTAGAAAAGTTGCAGAGGGTGTTTCTCTCTCTCCTCTGTAATTTGTGCATCATAAGGGTTGTGTTTATTACTAGTATGTTTCATGGTTATTTACTTATAGCAGCGTCTATAGATGTACTTCCAGTTGATTTTATCCTCATCCAGACCAAGTTCATGTGGCAAGAAGACTAGAAGCTGGTGATCATTGAAGTGGAAGAAACAGAGCTGTTTCCATAGCAACATCTGTGAAGAGACCTTATGATTGGCTAAGTTTGCCTGGCCTGTGTGTATAATGTCAGTGTGATCTGAGAGTTTTCTGAAAATGCATCTCACACAATCCTCTGGTAAATCTTCAAACATTGGCTTCCCATCTGCCTGTCTCTGAAAAAAAAGTATAAATCTAATTAGACAAAATATCACATAAACTTAATCTTTTCTGGTCCAGTGGGTCTTGAAAAGATTTGAAAGATGCATTTAAACTTTCACTAATTCTAAATTATCTCTCCTTGAAATAGGGTATCATTTGAACAATTTTAATCCCCTTTACCCAAGGATGCTTTGTGGCAAATTTGGTTGCAAAAGATGAAAATGTGAAAAGTTTAAAGCAATGATGCCGACTACGATAGACAATGGACAAGTTCTGATCAGAAAAGCTCACTTGAGCCTTTGGCTCAGGTGAGCTAAAAATCAATTTATGTTTAAAAAATTTCACAAAGTTCATTTAAAGATATAATGAATTCCCAACAGTTTAGTTGGAACACATGCAGCCTATACAGTGTCATAACAGGCCCATGTCAGTTTCTATATCCTGGGTACATCTGACCGATTCTCTAAAAATGTGTTCTGACTGAACTGTTAGACCTTCTGTCTTGTGACTGATCTGTTTGTCAGATTGTCTATTTTATTTGCTGACTGACCTGTATGACATATTCTCTAAACCTGTCTGTTGACTGACCTATTTGTGCTGGTAAATGTCTAGCTTAGAGATCATTCTGTCTATTATTATAATTGTCTGTACACTGACCTGTTTGAGCTGGTATTTGTCTAGCTTAGAGAACATTCTGTCTGTATTATACCTTCCATTCATTGACTTGTTTGAGAAAGTATTTGTCTACCTTGTAGATCATTCTGTCTATATTATACCTGTCTAATCACTGACCTGTTTGAGCTGGTATTTGTCTAGCTTGGAGATCATTCTGTCTATATAATACCTGTCCAATCACTGACCTGTTTGAGCTGGTATTAGTCTAGCTTGGAGTTCATTCTATCTATATTATACCTGTCCAATCACTGACCTGTTTGAGCTGGTATTTGTCTAGCTTGGAGATCATTCTGTCTATATTATACCTGTCCAATCACTGACCTGTTTGAGGTGGTATTTGTCTAGCTTAGAGATCATTCTGTTTATATTATACCTGTCCAATCACTGACCTGTTTGAGCTGGTATTAGTCTAGCTTGGAGATAATTCTGTCTAAATTATACCTGTCTAATCACTGACCTGTTTGAGGTGGTATTTGTCTAGCTTGGAGATCATTTTGTCTATATTACACCTGTCTAATCACTGACCTGTTTGAGGTGGTATTTGTCTAGCTTGGAGATCATTTTGTCTATATTACACCTGTCTAATCACTGACCTGTTTGAGCTGGTATTTGTCTATCTTGGAGATCATTCTGTCTATATTATACCTGTCCAATCACTGACCTGTTTGAGCTGGTATTAGTCTAGTTTGGGGATCATTTTGTCTATATTACACCTGTCTAATCACTGACCTGTTTGAGCTGGTATTTGTCTAGCTTGGAGATCATTCTACCTATATTATATCTGTCCAATCACTGACCTGTTTGAGCTATTATTTGTCTAGCTTGGAGATTATTCTGTCTATAATTATACATGTCTTGAGACTGACCTGTTTGAGCTGGTATTTGTCTAGCTTGGAGATCATTCTGGACACCGCTGCCCGATGTTTGTTCCACAAACATTCACTGCCAATGTGAGAGTATTGTCCATCTGTCAGTGAGTTCACAGCACAGTTCAACAGTGCCTTCATAGCTGGTACATTTATCTCAGTCCTCAGCACTGTCAAATTAATTTACAGATCCATAATTATTTTGTATTGATTTGTTTTCAGATTGATGTATATTTATTTTATTTCTTCTGAACACATTCATTTTACATATTCCTGTTTAAATTTCTTTTATCCTGCCTACCAGATTTTACAATTTATGTTGAAAAAATTTAGAAAAATAAATATATATTTTGTTCAACATTCACCTGCACTATAAAACAAAACTCCCTTGCCAGAATTATTAACTCCAAATATAATATATTCAAATAGTATATTAAGATGAACTATACTCTCACCCCTTTTAAATCCCCTAGATGGCAATCATATTGTTCAAAGTTTTATCTTTAAAAATGTAATGCCTAACAGCCTGTATTGCTCAGAAGCTATTGGATTTGTTTGAACTGATGGTTGCTGAGTTAATGACATAACAAAACATTTCATTGCACCATGGCACCTTGGCATTTAATACTGTACAAGACTTCGTAGCAAGAACAAGACACATCATAAAGATACAGGCAAAACACACTGAAGTTACAATTCATATTATGCCCCAGACATGATTTATATAACATCACTAAGCAAAATTGGCCTTTGAGAAATGACCTTCAGTCATGAATATGACATACTTTACAAAATGGGCAACATCACAATCAAGTTTGAATTTATTCCAATCAGGGGCTCCTGTGTTTCAGACAATATTTCCACTGACCTTGACCTTAAATAAATGATCTTGAATTAAAATCATGGTTTTGATGCATTACAATAAAGGGCTCAAGAGCTTTGGATATATTTCTCTATAGATGAGCAATCAAAAACACGTCAAAAACAATGTGTCTCCTCCCAGCTGTGGGGGAAGGGACCATCAAAATCGATAAAAGTTCCAGTGTACTTGTAATTAAAATTTGTTTGATCGCTACGTAAAGGTGTAAATTAAACGGAGCAAATGAAAGGATTGTTATAGGTTATTTCAAATTCTCATTTGGATATGATTAACGCCTGCCAGGTAGTTTGTCTACCTTGATTTGTCATTTCCTCCAAGATGTTAATGATATTTTTCTGTGACGTCCCACTCAGATATCGAAAGTTCCGGTTTAGCAGCAGAAACATGAGCTATAGAAAGGAAATAGACATCATTTACACCAGAATTAACAGAATGTCATCAGCTATGTACAATAAATATTCAAAGAAATCGATGCGTTTTAGTTATACGTCTACATACAGTTTACTATTGGAAAACAGGAATCAGTTATTTTGAGATCAACAGGTTATTTAATTTCCCTACCTTTCTGACGTAATTGAATCTGCGGAGGTCCCTGGCGGCCCCCGTGATGTCCAGGTGAACAAACGCCTCACTCAGACTCGTCATCACCTTTCTCTACAAAATAAACATTCATTTTCTAATCCAATATTAAATATATAAAAATTATTATTTTGTAAATTTGTATGGGAGGGGAGCTACACGGAAATCTCCACACTAAAAAGTTGTGACTGGAATTGCAAGAAACGCATAAATACAATTTTACAAATATTTTAAATCAAATTTCGAGTGTACCTCCTTTGAAATCCCTTTGATGTAGTGAATATGTGGTTGATGTTTGTGCCATGTGTCATCCCGCTCAATGACGGCAAGCCGCAGTAATCTGAAATCAAGCAAAATGCTTCATATTGAAGTCCATGTTTGAGTTGATTTCATAAGAAAGACACGCAACGTAATAGATAGATGAACCCCTCCCCCCCCCCCAAATAATTATGCTTATATTTAGTAAACTATAGAAACGTAGCGCTAGCTACTTCAGTTAAGGATCTGATTCCTCAATAATCACCTCTAATGACTTTTTATTATGCCCCCCCCCCCTCAATAATAATAATTACTTCTGATTACCTTTTTTTGTTTACTATAAACGTCAAGGAATTTTTATTTGGAAGTGCCCCCTCCCCCCAACTGAAAATGTGCCTGGGGAAGTGGATATGCTGATAGACCGTCAGACCCTTGTGCTAGGTTTTAATTTCACTCGGTCTGTGAAGTACTCAATTTGTTTTTGCGATTAGAAAGAAAAAAAAATCATCAATGGGACAAAATCACATGATTTATCTTCTCTTAATTTTTTCTCTGACGAATATCATAATTACGTTAATCAATGAACCTGTTGAACAGATGAACAGAGACACGAATTTTTATACCATATTCTACTATGTAAATAAGATGCAATTTGTAAATATCAGTATTTAGTTACATCTTAATTAAGAGATCGTGCCCCCCCCCCCCCCCCCGAACGAAATAACGAAAATAAACGCTTAATTTATTATGTAGCAAAAAACTCCATGCATAAACCTAGAAGTAGATAATTTCTTATAAAGTGTTCAATTTTGCAATAATTTCAGTTTTCTGCTATTCCGATGCATATTAAATATTTTTAACAAAAATCCTGAAAGGGGGGGGGGTGTCACTGCCCCCATGAAAGCGTCTGTCAACGTAAATTAGTGGAAAACTGAACATTATTTGTTGTATAGTTAAGGGTGAGATGAGACTATAATTTAATACTATACTGTAACTCTCGAGCTGGGTATAGCAGGTGAGCAGTTATAATTAATATAGATAATTCATATATTAATTGATCTGTAAAGGTCGATCTCGATCTAGATTAATTAATTGTACATGATAGAGCCAGACAGAAATAAATATATTCAAGGAGTAACATACAATATTAATGGCATGAATATTAATCACATGCAAGAATTAATCTTTGGGTAGACTGATGGGTGATGTATACGTACGTACCTTGCCAATATATTTTCATTCATTCGCTCAAATATTTTGATTCGCCATAGCCTGAGTCTTTCCCATCCTTCGTTTGTCCGCACCCACTGGTCTCCCGGAGATCGCCAATCCCGACTTAAAAAGGGCATCCTCAATCCAATAAATTTACCTCAAAAAATATGTCTGCTTCAAGTCTTCTTCCTTTGTGTTTTGGTTAATGCGCAAATGTTTATGTTTATGCGGAAATGAGCAATTTGCTCGGCAGAGAATGAATTCAAGTGATTCCATTGGACAAGGCAACTTGAAGGTCGTTTTTGATTGGTCGGGTTAACTTTAATATGCTAATGCACGTGGTAATGTTTACATACATCAGCTGACTAGGTAAACAAAGTTACTAACACTCTTTACTGTTCTCCTCCAAATATTCATTACTGCATTTACAAAGTGCATTAAAGACTTTTGAAATACCAGTTCGTTTCCTAGAAAATATGACTAGGTCGAAATGCAGTTGAATTATTTTCCTGAAATCGATCCATCAATTTAATTCTTTGTCATGTTTGTGCATGTGTTTTTACATGTGTATAATATAACCATTTAAACCAGCTTTAATTTTGTTTTATTGCAAAAAAGGAAAAAATCCAACAGCACTGTAATGAATTTTCAGTAAATAATATTCATGCTGTACATAGCAAATGCTTAATTTATGGTTTCAAAAAATCCCATATTTTTGTAGAATACCCTAATGTAAACTTGATGGAATCAGTTGGATTCATTCCTAAACATGTTTGTACAGCAGCCAATTATAACTGCGCAGCGAGGTTGTCAATTGCATAAGCAATCAGGATATTTATATATTTAATGTAAATATACACAAAATACGGGCACTGTGGTGGCATTATTTCAGCGCAAACACAAAGAAAAATCGAGGAAATATTAATGACCCACAGACATCTGAACAAAGAAAATGCCTCATATTCCCAAACTTCTGTTGTTCCCAATTTTCATTATTTCTCTCTCTAAAAAAAAAAGAGATAATGGAGTGTACTCTCAGTCTTCAAAATGTTTTATAACCAATTATTATGCATCTTGAACTGAGAATTCATTGCCTAACTAATACGAGTATTACAATTATTACTCTCGTTTTTCTGAAGTGGATCTATTCATATACAATACCAAGTACAAAAACATAAAAGGGGAAAAAATCTTCTCCGCTCTAGGCCTGATAATAAATGAATTATAAAGCGTTTGATTTGCTCACAAGAGAAACACAAATTGGGGGGAGGGGCAATTTTAGTTGATTTTACATTTTAAAAAACGATAAAAAATAATTCTATAGTATTTTAAAAACATCAATTTATAAGTTGCATTTCAGAGAGTAAAATGGAACAAAAAATGTTAGATAAAAAAATACCGAGTTTAGAAAATCACCTTCCTTGGTAAAGAACGGACGTGAATCTACAAGTTGTATGCCTTTAGGAACAGGGGGCACGAGGGGGAGGGGATACCCCAAATTTTGTCAACATACACAATGGGAAAACGAAGATAATTTACGGTTGTGTACCCTTAGTTACAATGTTGATGTCTTTTTGAAAAAAAAAATTGAAACCTTCGTTGATAGTCACTGATGACTCTGATACACCTATTTTGATCATATGCATTTTCTAAGGACGGACCAATAAACACAGCTCGGGTCACGTTAATTTCAAAATGAAAAAATTATCCCAAGGAAATAATTATCCCCTCGCAATTTTACGAAGTTCCAAGGGAATGTTGTCATTGTCCTGTATGCGCACTTTATTTTCGAGTATATGTTCGCGAAAATTTCATTCTCACGTATAATTCTACTACATGTATTAATTACATAAAGCAATAACCAAAATTCGCGAAATTTTGTTTGGCCTATAAATTCCAAATAACAATCTCAAGAAACTAATTAGGTGTAGCGAAAATTTAGTGATCTATCATATATTCTTCATTTCTTCCTTTTCTAGTTTACATTAGAAATTAACATAATTTATTATGAATAATTTCATCATTAATTGTAAACCATTACACATGATTATTGTCAATTCCTTTGTAACCTTGACCTTCTTGGAGAGGACTTGTATAGGCTATGCCTAATGTCCAATCCATTTATGTGATTTGACTTTGCATAATAAAATATTGATTAAAAATACATCTGGGAAGGCCCAATGCTAAATAGTCAAGTTAAAAGACTGCAATATGGGTAAACAAATCATTGACACATTTTAAACAGTATCACTTGCTTTTTTGACTCATACTTGCTTCATAGATGTATTGTAATCAGGGAAAGAAGCCTACTTATTCCGAGGACAAAAGGTCTGGGTCAAAGACAATACTTGATATTTATAATCTGTAAACACAGTATCAATTCATCCTGTGAGAAACTGTGTTCTTTGAATGAAACCATCCTGCGAGGGATGTTCTGTTTGTGATGCCTTCCTTACATTTTTGCAGCATAAATAACCCAAGCGAAGACATTACTTTATGTTTTTATTGTACATAGTTTTATTAACAATACCATCATTTCATGTCTAACAAAAAAGATGGCACATACATTGTCCAGTTCCAAGAGAGCTTAATTTTTATCACCACATCCATAATAAATTATTTAGTTTTCTATAAAATAAATTCACAGTCACTGAACTTTCCACAGTTATTTAGACAGCCACTTAGAGTACTCCTTCTTCACGTTCTCCCACTCTTCCTTCTCAGGCATGCTGGGTTTTATCCTCGCAAAAAACCTGTGCCACTGAACTTTATTCTGTAATTTATCATTTAAGTTATGAAATTACATTTATATCTGAAAAATAAAACAAGGAATTGACAGTAGATTTATTTTATTCTTACCCAAAATTTTTTACAGGCACGTGTATTTTCAAATTCCAGCACACACTTTGATTTATCATACATGTGTTTTTTCAGGCAATCTAAAGCCATCTGTCCTTCCTGAAATATAAATAAAATATTCTGTGATACTCGCATTGAAGGATGTCCACAGTGTTTTCCCTAAGAACCAGCTATGGCCAAATTGACGACTTCAACTGATAAAAATGCTGCTTAGAAATAAATATTTTTAAAAATAATTGTTGTATAGTTCAGAGAGATTTGTTTGTAAACCTCAAGCCCTAGCCTGTTACAACTGATCTCTAACCCTTTACTTTTTAAATAAAGGGAATACACAGTGTCCATCCACTGCAGTTAGCATCTTTGAATATACAAAGAATGTTTCCACACTGTTGAAAGGGAGTCTTTTCACTGAATATGGAAAGAAATGGCCCTGTTTGTCTCAAATTACAGAGTTGTTTGCATGAAGGATACAGAATACATGTTAATTATATTGAGATTGTTTTTTCTTGCTCAGGGATTCAGCAACTTTGTATTGCATAAGAATGCATTTTCAAGTATAAGGCCTCTGCTTTGAGCCTCTGAAAAAGACCTCATTATTTTCCCAATATTTAGTATCTTCCTACTTAAATTCACTTCATTAATAAAGTTTCCATCTGTATTACAGAGATATTAGACAAGAATTAGCCCCTGGTATACTATGATGACTGAGTTATAGAGTCACTAGCTTCATGACCCTAAGAGGAATAAAGCAAAGAAATATTCAAGGGTGACAATATGAAAGGAGACAACAGAGGGGGCACAAGGATGACAAAGAGAGAACAAAAACCCACTATACAACTCAAGGGAGCAAAATAGTGAAAATGAGAGGACAACAAGACAAAGGAACAAGAATTCAAGTTTGTTGATACAAGGTTTGCCTCTATTACTGGTGCTGTAGAGTAGGATTTCCACCATAGCCAGCTTACCCCTACAGAATCTAAGAGCAGGACTTCCCCCTGAAGATGGGTGTACTTAGTATTTAGCATGTTATCTGTAGGAATCATCTGTATGAAACATTTATAGTTTAAATGTCCATGATTTGGTCAGCTGACCACAGCATAAGCATGTCCCCTTGACCCCAGCAGGATAAGCAGAGAGCAAATACTGTCTTAGAGTTTTGCAAAATTTCAAATTGTTAGAAATTCACTCATTTTTAGTTCCAAGGCAATGGCAGCTATTTTGGATATCTAAATTCCAGAAACTTGGAGAGACACTTACACAACAATATTATGTACATATAGTTTGAAATAAAATTGGGGAAAAAATTGGGAAAAATTTAATCCATTTAAAATAAAATTCTTCCTTTTCATTTCCCTGGCTTTAGTTAAAAATCTGTCCAACTGATTACATGTACCATTGGGTTTTTTTCTTTTTTTCTCCCAAAAACCAGTTTGTCTAGATGAAAAGAAAAAGACTTAATGTTTTAGAAGAATTTGCTGGACATTTACTAAGAAAAATGAGATTTGAAACTTTCATTTTCATACTTTTTATGTTCTGGGGGAAAATCATAGAAGGGACACCTGTAACAATGTGTTGCCCCCTCCTCCCCTCAAATATAAGACATATTTTATTTGGGGGGGGGGGGCAATTGACTCTGAAGGAAATAACACTCTAAAATTATTACACAGAGTGGGATCCCCTCCAAAGCAAATTATATAAAAAGTGTAAATCAGAATTAAATTATTTACGGATAAGTCAGTCTGTTCTCAGAGGAACAACTCTAAAAATAGTATACAGCTAATTCTCTGCACAGATCATACTTCAGATCATCCTCACAGCATAAGGGTTCCTGAGTCCACTCCTGGCTGTTGGATACATGACAAACTTCACCCTTTTTTTAGGGCTTGCTTCTCTCATTGAGAAGCACCAATCAAATTGGGGCTTTAATAATAATACATAAAATGTAAACAGAAAGTAGCAGTTAAAAACACCTCAATGCACATGTTACTGGTTACATGCCACAAAAAGACTTAATGTTATTGGTCGAAAGATAAGATAAAGAATATCAGTGCAGTAAACCTGTAAAAAAAAAATGAATAAAAATTTTTAAGGGGTTCCATGGCCAAGAGTGGACTCAAGACCCCTGACATTGGAGTACACTCCCACAAGCACCTGAATTTTTAGCAATAAGTTGCAAATAAAGTCCTAGATCAAAATACCTTCCCCCGCTATATATAAATACACAGGGGATAGAATTTTTTTAACTTGGGCTTTATTTCACTTTACAACTTATTAATAAAATTCATGTTCCTGTTGTTATAATGACTTCAGACGCTATTAAAAATAAAATGTTCAATATTGCATTTAATCGATTTCCAGAATACCTGATCATTTTATCAATTTATGAAATCTGAAGACTAACAATAACAATACTATTCACTGCTATTTATTCAGTTTTTAGCTCACCTGAGCCAAAGGCATAAGTAAGCTTTTCTGATAGAAATTTATCCACTGTGTGTCATTGTTGTCGTCATTATTGTACACTTTGCACATTTTCATCTCAAGAGCCACTGAGCCATTTCAACAAAACTTGCTACAAAGCATCCTTTGGTAAAGGGGATTCAAGTTTGTTCAAAAGAAGGACCTTCCCCTCTGTGAGTGTCAAGGGGAGATAATTAAAAACAAGTATTCTGAGAGTATTGCATTAGCAATACTAGTCCCCTATCGGCAAGTGTAATCTGGTTCCCGTAAAAAATTGAAAATGCCATAATACTTGATATCATGATTACTTAACTTAATGGAACTCTTTCGCGGTGAAGGTAGAAAACATCTGTTAGCTGGGGGCAATGTGCTGTTGCATACAACGCGAGATCAAGCATTGTGTATTTTAAAAGGGGAGATATGAAAGATATCCTGGTGAAATACCTTGCGAAACATTCCCTGAACCATGCTTAAAAATTTTAAGAGAATCTAGTCTTCGTGTGTTACATATTTTTTAAATACCTTTTCACTAAGCTGACTCTTCTAATTAAATTCAAGTTGAAAAGGTCATAATTTCACCAAAAATCAATGAAGCAGAACGAAATGCAAACTTGATCTGTAACTCCTCAAGATACACTCACATACCTAAAAATCAGCTCAATATCTGCAAGTGTTTCGGAAAAAAGTGCAGAAAACCAAGTGCGACAGACTGACATACAGACAGAGAGACAGACAGATGGACAGATGCAGAGGAAACCTATAGTCCTTTCCGGTTATACCGGTAGGGGACTAATAAGTGAAAATTAATGGCATCTTTAAAATGTCTTCTTCTCAAGAACCACTGGACAACAAAAGATGAAAAATGTGTGAAAGCATCATTACATAGTGTTAATTCAAACTTGTTCAAATCATGACCCTGAGCATTGGGTGAGGCCACAATGGGCAATCAAATTTTTAATAAGAATACATAGGAAAAGATCTTTATTTTAAAATCGTTTTCTTGGGAACTGCATAGCCTGGCATGGTTAGTCATATTTATACAGAAACATGCCCAGGACTAGTGTAAATTCAAATTTGTTCAAATCATGACCACCTTTGAAAGCGCTGCTCGTGTAGCAAGCTCAATAGACAACGTGTACAAAAGGAGGAAATTCGGGTTGAAATCTGCACATTGTTCAAATAAATTTATATCAGTCCTCATGAAAAAATTCCAAACTCCCAATAATCCTTTGCAGTGAACAGCAACTTGGTGGCTTAAGCATAGCAAAAACTTAACTTGAACAAGCAACAATTTAATGCAATTTCCAAACCACAAAACTATCATTTGCATCCTCAGACTAAATGATTTTGTATGTATCATCATTTAAAAGGCTTAGGTATTTCCGAATTTGTAGGAAAAATCCGAAATTCGGAATCTCGATCCCGATGCATGGGAAGTCTGCAAAGGAAGAGAATACTAATATTTCTATTTTGTCATAAATATCATCATTTTTAAAAAAGTTGAAGTTACAAGACATGTACAGTAAAAGCAGGATAAAGGAGTTTACTGAAGTGTAACTCATTAGTCATCATATGCAGAATGCAAAACGACATCTGAGAGGTGTATAAAGTTGTGGAATTAATTACTACAAAAATGAAACTGTGCTCGCCCTAACGGTTTCACCGTCAGACATATTATGGAAACAGGCAGTGTATAGATTCAAGTTTATATAATTAAATCATGACTTCATGGGTATGGTTGGGCCATAAAATGTGATCACATCACAGGTACTTGGGTCTTGGTTTATAAATATGTATGTACCTTATTGTACCTCCAAAGTTCTAGAGGCGCTCCGAGAAAACTAAAAATAGTTCTGGGATAATTCAAGTTATATTTAAATTTCCCGGAACGCCTCTAGAATTTTGAAGTGTCTGAATGGCCGGAATATGTCGTTTTGAATCGGGTTTTATTATTTGCACTTAGTTCCGGGCACATTAACGAAAAGTTTGAAAATGTGTATAAAACTCATGTTTTAGGAATTATTTGCAAGATGTTAGGGTTTTTACAATATGTAATCAGTGTTCCGAGACATCCGGTGCATACAGATCGGTAGGTGCAGCGTTATTTTCATAGAACAAGCCATGTAAACAAGCGAGTTGAGCAGACGCCATTACGGAGCCTGCATACCTTTACTTTTTTTTACATATCAATAAGGTACATACATATTTATAAACCAAGACCCAAGTACCTGTGGATCACAGAGCAGTATATTAGAGGGGGGATCTGCTTATTAAGAACAGCAGAGCCCTTGTGACTCATGTGAGCGTTGCGGCCCGTGGGCCTCTCGTATACCTTGTAACAGGGGTCCGTGTCATTCCTAGTAGCTTCGAGTTGTTTGAATTCTTCAGCTCTCTTCTTGGTAGATGCTTTTGATAAATCCTCCCATTCTTTTCCGTCTTTAACAAATGCTTCATTTGTTCTAAATTTATCCATCCCTATGTTGCATGATTTAGATGATTTTTCGGATTTTTCCAACTTTTTGTTTACCCTTCAACTACGTGCATGGGCGCAGACATATTTGATCGTGACGTCATGAATTAGCGGCGAAGACAACTCCCATAATTCAATGCGGCAATGGCGACCGATGGGACTGCTAGTCGTCTTTGTCCAAACTGGCAAATTAAACACCAAAAATAGGTTTCTGTTTGGTAAGGATGCAACGAATACGTATGAAAGATTGATACACAATATTTCTGTGATGTAAAAATGTGGAAGTCGGCTGCATAATTAGGTCGTTATTTGGATTTTCCCATAGGTAGCCTGACCCCTCCCTGGTGCCTCTGAGAAGGCCATACGGTGAAAAAGTTACTTATTTTCCCAAAGGGGGCACATGTTGTCATTTTTTAACAGCCGTCGATCAAGTGCTGTAGCCACGTTGAGTTGAGGTTTTACAGATTTTGACTTCAAAATAAAAGAACACGAGAAAAAAATCGAACTCCGATGTGTTAAGTTTTACCAACGTGTAACATAAAGTTTCAATATTTCGATTTAATGATGAATTTAAGTAAGCATTATGGTGTTATTTCTTTGGATAATTCATAATTAATTTATAATTCATAATAATTTATTATTGTGCCGCATAAGAAAGAATAAAAATCTATTTTACAATAAAAAATAAGCAGAACCCAGTTTAGATGATTGATCATCAATTTGTAAAAATTTACTTCAGATATTTGTTGAAAATTATTGCTCTCAAAATATATTGCTTAACTATCCTAACCTTGTCACTTTAAGTAAACTCTGAGCTGTTTTTAAACAAATGCCACTATGACTTCATTTTTCGCACGCTGAAAATCAAACAATCAAATATATAGACATTTTAACAGTCCACTACAAGTATGCGTCAAAAAATAAATAATAATTATTCGTAATCTGTTGTATCTACCATAAATTTTATAAAATCAATAAGCTTTTTACCTTTATGTGCTGTCATCGATATCTTTCAATTTAGATATCTGTCATCCATATTTAGGAAAGTCAATGTCAGAACTATCACAGGATATGTTGAATAAGGCTAAAGAAAAATTATGTTTTAATCTACATTTACTGTCATGCACTACACAATGGAGATAATACATGTACACCCTTTAGAAAAAAGAAACAAAACTGCAAAAATTATTTCAACACTTTGGCAGATATAATTTCAAACATGCAACTGAATGACTGAGTTACATCAATATGATGTAGTGTATAAGAAGATTGTAGATTAAAACTAATTACAAAGAGTAATTAACATTTATACAAATGTAATTTTTTCAGGTTACAAGCAGCTGGAAAAATGACAACCAAACATGAAGATCAGTGTAAGTACACAAAATCCCTTTGTGTGTATGTCTTTGAAAGTGTACATTATAAGAAATGAATAAGTGGGATTGAAAAAATAATAAGTTAAAGCTATATCTACTTGTTGATTTAAAATAGTTGAGAAAATAGATGTAACATGATAAAAATTCTAAATAGTAACATATTTTAAATAAATACGAGACATGATTAAATATTTTACAGGGCATCATGACCTGATGACGAAAGGAGGCTTCCATCAGGTGTACGACAATGATATTCCATCAAGAGCTCGTCTGACCTGTCCACCGGGCCTCAGTATAAAAGCTGTCAAAGACCATGAGGGAAGGACCAGTAAGTGCTACAGTTTCAATATTTTTGATATATTTTCTTTAAAGTGAAGGGTGTGAATTTTGATTTCCTGTGATGTTGTCGACCATTACACACAAAAACAGCATAAATGAAATGCTGTAAATCACTTTTTATTTTAGACAATAATTTGTTCAAAATTTAACATATTTTGAAATATTTAGATGGTTTTGATTGAATTTGTAAAGAATTATGGAGAAGTCAGTTGAATTAGTGCCCATTTTCCTCCTTCACCGTCACATACATTTAAGGGGTGTGCAATTACCATCACCCAATGCCACGGGCTACCCATTTTAGAGGTCAAGCAAGTAAAAATCAATGCTTCATAAGCTCGTTAGCCTAGTAAATCTAAACAAAAGTAAACACGTTATTCATTGTACAGATGTCAAAAATACATCAACCGAATTTATGTAAGATTTAATTTTGTTGCCAAGTCGAAGATCTTCAATTGGTTTTAACACATATGCATTGTGCATTGCTAGCAACAGTTGGTTCAGTGACGAACAACATGTAAATGGTTACAGTAAAATGTTAGTGAAGCTCCAGAAGCTGCCAAACAAATTGATTAATGATGAAATATATAAAACTGACATTTGTTTGTATATTTATTTCAACTTATTACATTTTTTATTAGGGTTTTTGTTTTACATGTATAGCTGTTGCTGTTATTACATAGGCTAGTAACTGGTGACTTCAGGCTAGTAACTTAGTAACTGCCTGGGCTTGTAGCCAATTTTTGAAATTGCATGACCCTGCATTTTCTTATTACATGTATACTAGTTGATACACTGTGAGTACTAGTACAAGAAGAGCTTCTACATTCAGAAGTGTATCAGAAACAAAGAAAAAGGTCTTTAATCATAAGAGCTAATATGAATAATAAAAAGAAGAATCAATGTCCATTGAAGTGAAACATTAACTTATGATTTAAACAATTATAAAACTAAAATCAATGTTTAATCTTTTTTGAAGCTTCTGGGGTTTTTGCCAAGAAGATAGTCCAGGTTAGGACAAGATTTGGACCCATGCTTGCTCCAGTTAAAAACCGTACTAGGTCTGAAACTCCTCGACAGCCTGCTAATGTTGATGGCCAAACAGATAGTCTTCAGAATAATCCAATGACTACTGCATTGCCATCAAGTTCTCTACACAGCCAAGTATCGGTAGGGCAGCAGGGAGACAAGTCATCTCTATCCTCAACTGACCAAATGTTACAGAGTGTCAATCGCAGTATACAGGAAGTGGCTATTGACCGCAATAATGTGGAGCACCAAGACATTGTCCAGCAGGCCCTGGGCATTGTCAAGCTGTCTGACGATCATCACACTCCTGGTCCATTTGGGGATGCAAGTACTACGCTTTCAGAGACCATCCACCTCGCTACTTCATTAGCCAGTGAGACAATGGCAGGGGCAGGACAGTTTACAGCTAGTCAGATTGGGGACGACCTCAGTCTGACAGTTCCAATCGAGTCAACAATAAATCCCAGTGTGACGGAGGGTTTGACATTGACTGCCACTCAGGCCCAGAGTCTATTAGCTCACATGGACTCGTCTACTTTTCCCTCAGTGACAAGTAGTGGAGCCATGATGGCAAACCAACAGGACATACTAAATAGTGTTGTGACCGAGCCCAGCCTGCTGGCTCAGACTTCTGAAGCTCAGGTTGTTGGTGTTGTTAAGAATGCTTTACAAGGGGTTGTTAATGATATGATCAATGAAGTCTCGTCTACACCAGTCCAGCCCATAAAGGAAGAAGTAGGCTTAAAATCCAATCCTGCTGATCAGCCTTTTGTTGTTAAGGTATATTCATGCTTCTTGTTTAAAATGATTTATCTGTACGTAAAATATTATTGTTTAAGGTCCATAACCCCCTTAAATCATATGAAATTTTTATCTTCAACACCAATAATTATCAAAAAGAAATCAAACTTATGATTAAAATGCACACAATTTCAGCATACTTTCTAGCAAAATTTGACAGAAATGGCCCATTAATTTGACAATTTAATAAAGAAATTGTCATTCATCCCAGTGAGTTATTCCTCTTATCAAAGGGTGAATGAACCTTAATCTGATGTTTTGTCGGGCAGGTCTTCCATGATGACGGTTATGAAGATGAGCTGGACTTGTCAGATGAAGATAAGTGTAACTGGATGATGTTTGTGAGGCCTGCCAGAACTGCTGCTGAACAAAATGTGGTGGTCTGTCAGCACCAAAATCAAATCTTCTTTGTTTCTACTAAGGTACATATTATACATAAACATTGTATTTAGATACTTTTTTGGTATCTTCCAAGGTGCATACTGTACATAAATGAAAAATCATAATTTAGACACTCATAAAATATGTAGTAAATGACATATCTTTCTTTACTTATAATTGTTTTAAGATTTTACTGTATTTCCCTACATTCAATGTGAGTTGTGTTTATGTTGAAAGCAGGTGTCCTACACCTGTACATTAGTATGAGTTTATTGTACACTGTAGTTTTTGTTAAACATCTATAATTAAGTGTGCATTTTTATATAGTTTTGTTTAAAATTAACAATTTAGCACATGTGGCATTTCTTTTAATTGTAGCCCATTCCCTCCAACACTGAAATAAGGGTTTGGTATGAAGCGGAGTATGCCAAATTAGTGCAGAAGGAACTTCTTCCTGAGTTGGAGGGACCTCCTAACCCTGCCACTGGTTTGTAAATCGTTTTACCTCAAACTTGTTTATAAATATCAGTTGTTTATAGATCATGTAAAACAAAGAATCCAGTACAGGGGCTGACAAATACCATTGCCCGACGCCCAAGGCTAGTGAATTTTAGAGGCAGGCAAGTGAATTTTCAATAGGCACTTGTCCGTGGGCAAGTAACTTTAAAAAATCAATCCATAATTTTTTTTTAAAATGTCCTAGTTTTACACGAAATCAAAACTATTTTGTCGTAAGAGTTATCTTCCTTTGCTTGTCACACTTCAAAAGTGATCTTTATCCAATTCATTACAAGTCTTACCGAAAGTTTAAGTGAACCGAAAGAGACAAATTAGCACTGGAGAAATGGAGAAAGTTTAAACAAATAAGAGGCAGAAAAAAGATCAGAGCTGATGATAAGTGCATCGTCAACACTCATAGTCTGGTTAGTAACAATGTTAGCGAAAAAAACACAAAATTATCTTAGCATACTAAGTATCAGAATGAAAAACAATGGAAACAATTATTCCTATCAAATGGCAAAAGGCATGTGTAGGGCTGAATTACAATAGCAACACGAATGGTATGGTACTTCGTACTTTTTGGCCGTAGTTTTCAACTGTCAATAATATTCAGAACAACACATTCAAGGTTGCAAATTACGGTGATTACAGGGCAAATCGGTGATTCATAGTACCGAAAATTTTTCTGATTTGGTGACGAATTTATTCATTATGATGAATATGAAATGCTGGATAGTAGACTACAATGAAAGAATGAAAGGGAATATGTTTTGTTGTTTTAGATGAAATTGAAACTATTTTGTCATAAGAGTTATCTTTAATTTATAGTCTATGGTGGGGCAAGTAAGAATTGAAGTAGAGCAAGTGAATTTTGACCATGCACTTTCTATTTGTCAACCCCTGCAGTATGTAAAAGAAATGAATTGACAAGATCACTTCAGTATTGTAAAATATTATTTTCTGAAAGTTTCCGATTTTATTTGTAGGTTACCCATCAAAGTGGGCATGCTCAGTGTGTTTGGAGGGCTTCAATACTTTCAATGACTTAGAGGCTCATAATTGTGCAGGTGAACCTCCAGCTGATAAACGACAGCTCAGAGGAAGACCAAGAAAGGGAAGACCCAGAAAATATGTCAAACCGTCCAAAACATGGAGAGCTAGATTAGAGAAAAGTAGGCTACCTCCACGAAAACGAGGAAGACCCCCAAAACTAAAGGGAATGTTGACCGTCCCTAGACCACCAAAGGAAGTGAAGATCTCTGTCTCAGATCCACCTTTAGAGGAGAACAATTTGCAAGAAGTGATGGATAATCCACCTGAACTGGTGGATGATGACCCAATAGACAAGGATGATCATGATGTGTCTGCTTTGGAATTGTTAGATGAAGTTCTTGGGGAGGATGATGAGGATGATATCCCTGTCTTGCCTAGAAGAAGAGGCAGAAAGAAGAGGGCCCCTGGTGCACCTAAAATTACCCGTACACCAAAGAGAGAACCAATGGCTTGTCCTCACTGTGAAGAAACATTCACTAAAGAAGCCTTATTTGTGATACATGTTTCTGAACACACAGGGGTGAAACCCTACATTTGTGAAGTGCCTGAGTGCCAAAAAGGATTTATGTCCAAGTTCAAGCTGGAGAGACATAGACTTATTCATACATGTCCAAGATCCCATAAATGTTTATACTGTGACAAATCATTTAACAGGAAAGACCATTTAAAGAACCATATGGTTACGCATGATCCAAACAAGAAGCGGTGGGTATGTGAGGAGTGTGGGAAGGAATACTGCTACAATTTTTCCTATCGTACACATAAAGCCTTTCATGATGCAGATGCAGGACGAACGACTGAATGTGGCATTTGTCATAAGCAATACGAGTCTAAAGATGAACTGTTGTACCATCTTAAGGTTCATAGTGGAGCAAGGTCTGTGAAAAACTGTACTGAAAAAACACATGCTTGTGATGACTGTGGAAAAACTTTTTACACAAGGAAAGATGTTCGGCGGCACATGATCACTCATACAAAGAAAAAGGACTTCCTGTGTCAGTACTGTCCTCAGCGATTTGGAAGGAAAGATCACCTAACAAGGCATCTACGATCCTCTCATACAGGGGATAACAACAACAGCCGACCTCGAGCACCGAGGGCTGAGAGGAAGGAAAAACAACAGTACACCACAGCAAATGTCTCCATGGTCGGTCTTCAGATTCCTCGAGATGAACAGAATCTCCTAGTCGCTTCCCAGCCAATGAATTATCAACAGTTACAGGCTTTCGCATCAGAAATACCAGTGCCACTTCAAATGTTTGAAAATTCTGGAAACCAGACTGTAATTGCCATGCCTAATATGGGAACATTACAAACACAACAACAGACTCAGCAGCAACCTCAACAACCCCAGCAGCAACAGCAACAACCTTTGCAAGTTGCAGCTATACAAAATGTGCAACATGTTGCTATACAGAACCAGATGCCAGTGGCAGAGAATCGATATGTAGAAGCTATTATACGACATCAACCTCAACAGAACATTGTGTCCTCAACACCTACTGAGTATAGAACCATAGAACACCAGCCAAACATACAGACATACATACCAGTAGCAACTCAGCAACCCCAGCAACAGCAACAACAGCCTCAACAACACATTCAGATAGCAAAAACTGAAAACATTGATTTGACTAGGACAAATGGGGTGCTGCAAACAGAGTTTGTACAGACCCAAGCAACACGAAATGACATGACAGCACGTCCTACCGTACTACAGGCAGCTGATGTTAATAGGCAAGGTAATGCACCTGCTCAGACATTTTCTACTTTATTGGGCTACATGGAGACACTGAGATTTTTAGAGAACCTGCCAACTAATGCACAAGGAGCGGTGATATCTCAGATGACAATGCAGCAGGACGGACAGCCTCTCCCCACCATGGTCCCCATCCAGACTAGTACCCTAGCCTACTCTGTAGCTACCACTGCTACCCCAACCCATCAAATCATTCCGGTAGAAATGCAGACCAAGAGGATGGCTGTTACCCAACATAGTGCCTACCAGCAGCAGGGCTCCTGATACTCTATGCAAGAAATGTTTTCAGTCACTGAGCTCTTCCATTTTCCTGCCCAAGGACCATAACTCCTGTCTGAGACATACATCTTCCAGCCATCTTTGTTTTGTTTGTTATTGCTTCTGGTTTTATGGATAATTTTTGATGGTTTTGTTTATGAATTAATTTGACTTACAATTCATTTAGATGAAATATCTATCAAAATTATACCTATACATATGGTATATTTTACCAAAGTGTTGTTGACAATTTTGAAATGTTGTTTACTTTGAGGTAGACTTGAACATATCAACTACACCACAGTAAAGAAATTTTCATCAATATCTGGTTTAGTGTGGAACATGAACAAAGAAATTAAGTTTAAACACCATGATTTCAGATTGTGATATATTTATTTTACATTTTAAAGAAATCTATGTGATTTTATATGCACTGGTTATGTCCCACAGTTTCTGCTGATCTTTTTTATATTTTTCCTTTTACAGCCACCATAAATTTAAACCATTTATAAATTTGTTGTTGATATTATTACAAGTCCTTTGTTTTAATGTGATGGTATGATTAATTTGTACATAAAATATGTATATTTTGTAAAGTTTAATCTTTATTTCCTTTGCTAGTATTTATTACTACCAAGACTAGTCATCGGCAATCTTTATAAAGTTTAAAACATTTAATCATGTTTTTTTTTTAATTCTGCTTGCATGAAATTAGGGGATTTATCATAGGAAAAAGGATCAAATTACATTATAGCTTTGCATTTTTATTGTGGACTGAGATGAATTAAGGTAAATATGTTAACATTTTTGATTTTTTGTCTCTATATTTAGGTAAAAGTTGAAGTTTTCCTGATTTCTTTATGAATGCTTGTTTTTTGAAAAGAGATCTGATGGTTATGTGTCCTTTTGTTTTTTGTTCTTTGGTTTTTTTTTTTTAAGAATTTTTGTTAGTAAAGATGTACATGTATACATATTTTATAATGAAATAATTTCAAACAAGAAATTGAATTCACATTATAAGTAAAAATGAATGTATAAATTAAATTGCAGGTAATTTAAATGACTTTTAATTTGCTGTGAGAGGTACAGGTATTTTTCTGTATGGGAGGTCATACAGAGTTATTGTCCTTGACATTCATACTACTTGCTCCGTTGGTCGAATCATCATTTCACTGACCTGCAATACCATGAAGATTGTCATTAAGTCATACTTCATACTGGGAATAATGAACGCTGTAATTTTGATATATTTGCTGCAAATTATCAATTATGTATGTACATATAAGAAATAACAGAATCTTGAGCTCATGAGAGAAATTACCTATATAATAAAGATGATGATGATGGATAAATTTATCTCTGATTGTGTTTACCTGAACATGTGGGGGTGTAGCCAGAACAAATTCCACGGATTTCGCCATGTCCTCCGGCTTCAGAGCCTTCAATTGTAATAATACAGGGTTATGTAACTTAACTTTGATGAATACAATTACCAGGTAGTAAAATTCAGTTATAAAGAATTCCAAGGCGGTAACTACCATTGAGGCGAGGCAAATGCCTCACTAAAATTTTAGAATTTTCTCAAAAAGTGAGAAAAAAAAATCTTTGAACTGTAATTACATTGTACTTGTGGGTGTCTTTGTACTAAATTAATGCTTACAACAACATTTCAACATTTGTTTCAATTTCTGTAAATCGATCAACTCACCAGGCGTTAAAAATAATTCAAAACGTGAAAACTTTCAAAGATTGTCTTTAATTTACTATAACCCAGGTATCGGGACCCCCTTCCCCTGAGAACCGCCATCAGGAAACTAACCTGGACCCGCTTGGGATTTGGATGATCCCGGATCCCTTGCCTCACTAAAAATTTGAGCCTAGTTAAGGCCTTGAATTCACTTACAAGGAAATCTCGGTGCTGATTAACTTTTTACAAATCCTGTAGAAGACTTTTCACTATATGTCATATACGTATATAAAGAATCTTTGGTCATAAGGAAGCAAAATTCGAGGTCCAAGTGACTTCCTTAGAGTTTTACTGTATGCTGAGGATGACCAAAAGTGTATAGGTGTTTAAGTAAAAGAAAACTATTTAATATTAAATGCAAAAACATTGTGAAAGTGTTGAAGTTAAACCAAGATGTTCCCAGGAACAAATGCCGCCTGCAAAACCATGGTTCAAGTACTTTTAAAAACTTCAGATTATCATATGTTTCTAAGTGTGTGAATATATATGTTCTTAAAATAATGTACGTGCCAAATGCCCATGCGTCAAAGGAAATGAGGCAACTTTTATTTTTATTTACCTACATTTTTTATCATGGTTTGAACTTTCCTGTGCATCCATCTGTAAACCTTTTCTTTTCCTGGTAATATTTTTCACACTGACAAACCATATCAGGTGGGGGGGGGGGGGGGGGCACAACACAAAAGTAGGATTCTGTGACATCATTTTGGAATTTTTTTTCAATGCATGTACATAATGTAAATGTGTCTGGTTCATATATTGTACAGTATGCCACCTAGAATCATTTAAAGGTGTTGACTGATGCATCTTTGGGGGAATGTATATGTTCAACCAAAAGGTGGTTATTGTGACCTCATTTTGGAATTTTATGGCTACACAAAGTAAAATTATGTCCATATCATTTCTTGCACAGTGCGCAACTTAGTATCAAATTTTGTCAATAGATTCATCTCCCTTGGAGGATTGTTGAAGGTAGTAGAGATTTCCCACTGGAATAGTTCGCATTTTTCTTCCTTAAAAATTAATATTAATTTTGGTATGCAGATTTAGACTAAAAATAATTATTTAAAAAACCCTCAAATTTAAATCAGCCGCCGGTGTTGTTGTTATTGTTGTTTTTTTTTTTTTTGTTTTGTTTTTTTTTTGTTTTGTTTTGTTTTTGTTTTTTTTGACTAATAAAGATTGATTGATTAATTGATTGTATGTTGTTTTACGTCACCATATACCAGCTGAAAGGCTTCAAATTTAGATCTTTACTTGGCACTCAGGGCCATTGAGCAGTGAGGGTTGTTTGTCGTGCCAATGCCTACCGTGACACAGGACCTCAGTTTTTAAGGTCTCATCCGAAGGACCCACAACTTTCACTTCAAAGTGTCGAGCGCTTTGCGAAGGAACAGTAGCTAGTTGCTTCCTATTTTTTATCGACTTAAGTCAATCGCGGCCGTGATTGGAACATACGACCTTCCGATCACGGAGTGAGCGCTCTATAGCTCAACTGAGCTTCCGTGACGGTAAGCCTGATACAGAAGATCATAATTATTTATAGTATAATTCATTAAAACCTAAAAAAGGTGATACAATATCTCAGAGGTACTGATATTGTTAGAAACTCAGGGTCAATCTTGCATACGCTTACTGAGTAAACCGTTAACGACCATGAGTTTTCGACGAAACGTTAATTCAAGTCCCAAGTCATCTTCGCACTAGGCAAGTCTTTCTGATCAGCAGAAGAGTGTAGTGTATCAGAAACATTAGGGTTCATGAGGAGTGTAGCAGATCAGAAACATTTGGCTAGCGAAGACGATCCCAACCCCCCAACCCCCCCTTTCCTGAAGGACGTGGCAAATTAAGGGATGTCAGAGACAGTTTTGATTTCTGTATGTCGCTTTGCTCAGGAGACAAAACAAAAAAAAAACAATACTTACTTGTCTTGAGTTATAACACTCGTCTCCTCCCTCCTTCCCCATTAAGTTGTAGGCAAAGTTAGTTTGTACCAAACCAGGACTGATGCTCTGAGAAGAGTGCGAAGTTTGAAGTTTATTACAGTACAATGAAATCTGAATTTGTTTACAATTTGTTTACAATTTCGCGTTTTCTACTGATTTCGTTCCTTTTTGCGCGATTTTCTCTTTCTCACTATTTATTCAGTTCTCGTTTGGATGATCTGTCTGCAGGCCACGCAACTAACCGGAGTAAAATGAAATTTAAGTAATTAAAGATCTGGAATTTAAGTCGTTTGCGGAAAGTACAATACAATGATGCCCACTGAAGTGGTAAATTTTTCCACTTCATTGCGCATCGTAGTATCAATTGAATAAAGACATTCATGTCTCATTGAAGTAAAAATATGTACACATAAAGATTATTAAAAAACATTAAATTACAAAAATACCGTGATTTTAATGTGAGAGTTCACTCCCCTTAACTCCCATCGAATTCCCTCAGTCAGTGCCGTTACTGCATATTTTGTAGCGGAGTAAAAGTGTGCCTTGCCAACTCTGTGTCCAGACAAACTAAATACAATTTGTTTGACTTTACAATACTTAAGAAATAAATAACAAGTTTAAAAACTTCAATGGGAATTGAAGTGGGTCGGTCACGTGATCAAATCCTGTGAAGGCCGAAGGCCTTCTCAGAAGATTTGATCACGTACCGACCCACTTCAATTCCCATTGAAGTTTTTAAACTTGTTATTTATTACTTATATATACATTTGAGATGGACAATTGAATGTAATCGAATATAAATATTGCACTAACCGCACGCGCACGTCGTAGATTTCGACAAATTACGCTAGGTGTAAATCGGCTTGAAAAGCGGTTACGCTTCAAATTCATCTGGCAAAGGATTCTGTTTTGAAGGGAATATTCTGAGAACCCATATTCGATGTTAAAAAACACAAGAAACACGTCCGATGTTTGATAATAAAAAGTTGGATGAATTTCGGTAGGAAAGGGATGGATGGAGACACTTGTCCGGACCAGATAACTTGAAATCAAGTACAAAATTTGATCAAAAACATAAAATGTACGATTTCAGTAAGGCATATTTATATTAATTTATGATGTTGACATGGAGACACTGGTGACAGCTTACATTGTTAAGACAACGTCACAACGATCTCGATGATGGAGGTGTGCCTACCGAACTTCCAAAGTGCAGTGTTTGTCAGCTGTTTGTGGCGTGATTGCATTACATTGATATTTTTCAACAGATTTTCAAATTTATTGTGAGTAAAGTTTAACGAAAAAAAATTATAGCATTCAGAGGTCTGCGAGAAAAATAAGGGTAAACGTTGAGACTATGCAGCTCAGACATGGAATTTATAACATGTAGTTTTCTATTCTCTATGTAAAACCGATCAAAAACTGTATTAAATACTCGTTTACATTGTAAATAAAATGATTATTATAATTTACTTGAGTATTTTGTACATTTTTATGTATGAAAAACATGCTATATTGCTTAGTGGAGTAAGTCTTTTTATGTAGATATTACTGCGCTGTGTGATTGGGTCACGTAATGACCTATGACCTTCGAAAAACGTCATACAGTTATGAAGATATTTGCTCTCTGCATGTTTATATAATAGAGAGATACCACAAATGTATATATATATATATATGTATTTATAAAACGCTACCTTGGTATTACAAGTGCTAATACATAAAACATCTGTTTTCTTTTACGTAGCTTTCACATTTCGTGTTTTCATCTAATATAACAACTATATGAAAAAGACGTAGAAAAATTAAATGTGACAGGTAAAAAATTTTTTATCAAAAAAAGGGGGGGGGGGGTTCGATCACGTGTCTTTGCCACTGATAGATCCAAGGGATAGGGTGCATCTCCTTTTATTAGCCTTCAGATCGACACGAGTATATCTTTCTTTACCATTGAAAACTTGATTTACCTGTTAATATTAATGATATGTCCGTCGTCGATTCCACGATCTAACATTGATTTAATGGAAAGATGAGAACAAATACAAACTGCCATCACGTTTACCTGCAACAAAACATAAATTTATGTACACCAATCATAAAGGAGAAAGAAAGAGCAATTTATTTCTATAAGTAACTTACTCTAAGTAAGTTCCAATCAATTTATTATTTTATTTCAATCAGTAACTGCCAGTCCGGATCAAAGAAAGTTTCTTGGAAAGTATATACAAAGAACACGAACTTGCCACATTTCCTCCCAGTCGTCGTAATTCCCGTCAATGATTGGTGCATCCAAAGCGAGGCCGGCGTTATTGATGCAGACGTCCACTCCCATCATTTTCTCTTTAATTTTACAGAACATCGTCTCTATGCTCTCACGATCTCTCAGATCACATTTAATGGGAATAACACAACCAGGTAGTGACATACACTCTTTTGCGAGGGTCTACAATAAAATTACCAATCAACAGAGATCATAGTAATTCTATGAGTTTTTCTTTGGATAAAACACCGTCAATTAATTAGGGAAGAAAAAAACTTTAACATCAACAAGATGGCCCTCCCTTTTTGGACAAAACAGTTGTCTCCCCATTCCCTATAAAATATCATTAGGTTATGGCCTTGACAACATGTCCAAGGAATTTATAACTCTATGGTTAATCATCCTCACAATGTCAATGTTTTGTGATTTCGGAACTCCACACAAACCCTTGACATAAGTCGCTATTTAAAAGTTGGGTTTGTTGTTACACATGACGTAATGGGTAATTATAAACTAACCAATAAGAATATATTTTTCAAATCCGTCGTTTTCAAATGGCCCAACTCCAGAACATATCTTTTGTGATTGTTAGGAGGACGATCTTCCAAATTTTAATCCCCGATGTTTTATTTAATGTAACTAGTCAAAAATCCTACAATATCGACACATTCCATTTGAAAAACGAGTCATATTTGTTAACAAAACTTTGCTGTTTTCTGATTGGTTCCAATCCTAGACCAGGAACAAATGAAATAGTAGCTTTCTAGCCCAACTTTTAAATAGCGACTTATGTCAAGGGTTTTTGTGGAGTTCCGAAATCACAAAACCTTGACATTGTGAGGATGATGGTTAATTTGAATAAGGAGATGAATATATTTTAACCGATGCTTCGGCCTAAAGTTTTACTTGAATTCCTATCGAGGATCTTGGACGCCATTTTAGGATTTCATTACCGTTGACGTCCCTAGTCAAAACCAAGAGATCCCCAGGACATGAACAACAACCATTTTCTAGAGATCGAACCCATTTCAACCAAGGGTTTGGGAGCTGTATAGAAAATAGGGACCAAGTACCTGGGTCCACTCCAAAAGTCATTTGCACTAATTATTCAGAATATTGTTGCACGAGTCCAGTTTGTTTTTGGTTTGTTTGTTGTTTAACGTCCCTCTCGAGAATTTTTCACTCGTATGGAGACGCCACCACTTGTTGGTGGAGAGCTGCAAATATTGAGCTATATTCGGCACTGAGGGCCATTGAGCAGTGAGGGATCTTTTTCAAGCTAGCATCTTCTGCGACACGGGACCTCGGTTTATACGGTCTCATCCGAAAGACCGGTTTCCACGTCCCACAGTGGGATTCGAACCCGCGATTAACTCCTAACTCCGCGACTCTAAAGCAGACGCTCTATCACTGCACCAAGCGGACTGCACGAGTTCATAGTGACGACCGAAATTCAACCCCCAAGAATCACAAACTATAGGGACCGTGGCAAGGTGAAAGTGTGTTCGCGTTTTGAATTTCTACAAGTACAATGTGTTTCTTAATCACTGAAAAAAACTTGTTTGGACCATACCAAAACTGTGCTAGATTGGATACAGTCATTATTTTACAAACTTAGTCATTGTTAATTCTAAGTTGACAGAGTTTTTATATTCCTAAGGGCAGGGTTATTTTTAGCCGTGCTTCAACTGTAGACATTTTTTTTGCCAGCGTGACACTGAGGAGGACTATAAAACATCTACCTGTAGTTTATCCAGGCTCCGGGCGCATGCCGCCACGCGCATCCCATGTGAGGCCAGAAGTTTGGCAATGCTCCTCCCTGATCCCATTGAGGCTCCAGTCACCAAGGCAACCCGTCCTTCCCATTTCTCCATAGTTGAATCTCGACGACTTTTCACAAAGCAAAGTTTTTCTTTTCTTTACCTGGATGGCTATGGTAATTCTTGGTCGATGGACGCCGTCTGTTGTCGACTGTTATATATTCACGAGGGACATTTTGTGTTGTAAATCAATTACAAGGATATATCTTTCTGTGGCCATTTTCTGAATGTGAATGAATATTTTGTTGTTTTGTTTTGGTTTGTTTGTTTGTTTTTGAAGAACAGGAACTCATTTTGTTTACGTATAAGCCACGTACCGCAGTAATTCAGTTAATTTTTCGTATTATACATGTTTACTTCTTAATTGTATGGCAATATGATAACGGCTTTCGTAGTAAAATTATTGATTTTTTTTATCATGTTTGTAACTTTGTAAAGACATTATTTTGATCGGAAATACCTTAATATATGTAAAACTATATTTTACGACCCTAAACTATAATTTACAATGCATAACTTGTTCTAGGTAAACTTTTTTTTTTTTTTGGTTTATTAACCTGGTTAGAGCAACACTGAATAAAAACTCACCGTGTTGAAGATAAATTTTCATATGCACCAACATATTATTGTTTACGACCAAAAATTAAAATTTACACAATACTTTTAGTTTATCTGAGAAGGATAGTTTTAGAATTTCGCAGAACAACGATTAACCTCGAAAGTTCATTATGGTCATTTATTCATAATTATAATAATATTTTGTTGCCTAATAACGCGAACTTTCACAAACAATCAATTTTTTTTTCAAAAAAATTCACGTTGAAAACGCTAAAGTTGCGCTTTTTTTCTCCCGCGGTTATTTGTGAAGGTTTCCTTCCCACATAAGTATACGTTTATCCGAGAAAGTTTTGCGTTTATTTGCAAAAAACACATTAGAATTTCTCATTTATTCGCAAAAGCTTCGAATAATAGCGCATTTTTTTATCATACGAAAATGAGTTCAGATGATTTTTGTAATTTGAATCTAAACTACAATTTTGGTTTACGGGCAAAGATGTATACATATGAATTAGGGGAAAAACTATTCTAATATGTACTTGCAGAGAGATAATCTTAGTTTAACATTCGTAAACATATCGTTCACATTTATATTCATTGGCGGAGGGGGGCACAGGGCTCCCCTTTTTTGTCCAAAAATATACATAAGATTTAATAAATCATTTTTTTTGCGTGGCCGTGGGCCCCTACCCGGACCCCAAACTGGTCCCCCCCCCCATTTTCAAGATTCCTGTATCCGCAACTGATATTGTTTATAGTTGAAAACAGGTCGTTAATAAGGTCGTCCATTCCAATTTTTTTTTTCAGACCAGCTACAGATCTGCAGTTGTTAAAGAGTTTAAGCGTTGTAAAGTATTAGATAGATTTATAAATCTAAATTATAAGATGTAAATTGAATTTTACTAGTTCTACAAATTTTGCGTGCCATAATAATAATTGATTATGCAAATTGATATACTAATATTTACGTATGTGATCTTTTTTTCCCTTCAGAAGTCTACCAACAATGACGTGTTTGGTCACAGGTGCTGATATCCATGGAAGGGTGTAACATTTTAAGTCTGATATTTTTCTAAATAATTTCTGAACATCTTATTTCTTTTTTTGTGAAAAGGGTATCCCTTTTACGAATTCCATTGTATCATCTTTTAGCTCACCATGCGGGATCAGAAAATCAATTAAAATTTACTCTACCTCATAAGTTCGCACGTCATAAAATCTGAAACATTTGTCAGGCTTTTGACATTTTTATGTTCAAAGACTTTTCAATCATGTAATCTTAAATTGGTACAAAGAATCCATAGCTCGACCATTCAAGAAGTACATCAAATGAAGTCTACACAGAAGCACGAAAATACAATAAAGATGAAAGATAACGAGCACATACACGATATTTATAGGCGTCAACAGGGTTTTTATTTACTGGGTATTTAGATCTACATGTGTATATATTCTTGTTTCTGTTTCTTTCTTACTTTGGGGTTTTTGTTTTTTTTGTGTGTGTGTGTTTTTGTTTGTTTGTTTGTTTTTTGGTTTTGATTGTTTGTTTGTTTTGTTTTGTTTTTTTGTTTTTGTTTTGTTTTTGTTTTTTGCATTCTTTCATTTCGTCTTTGGTAATTATTGTTTTATATTGCTTTTGTTCAATATCACTATTGTTTGTTTTTATTCCCTTGGTTTGTTTTTTGTTTTGATTAGGAATGAGAAATGTTTGCTTTTTGACACAGTATGTATATACTCAGTAAATGAATGTTTTTTTAAATAAGTAAATATTTACAAACACTTTCAAAAAGCAATTGTACCAAAAGCGGATCCAGCACCGGCGCGCCGGGCGTGCGCCCCCCCCCCCCCCGTTTGATTTTTTTGTTATTGAAATTTTGTTTGTATTATCCTAAAATCAAGGGAAAAAACACTTGTTTGTTAGAATTCGTCAGGGCTTTGCCCTTGAACCGCTGGGGGCTTCGATGCAGCCCCCAGACCCCCTGCCTTCTACTGCCCCCCCCCCCCCGTTATGAAAGTCCTGGATCCGCCACTGTGTACGACTGAAGGATTGTAGATTTCTCGACGCATCTACATGTACATTGTTATGCATCTATTTTTAATTATGCCATAGTGTAACATGATAACCCATTCATGACTTTCTTTGTTGTGATAAATAAGGATTACTTACCAGTGACATAGTTAATTTTCCGAGGATGAGACTAATGTCATTGGGTAATTATTCCAGTAACCATTTTCCAATAAAGTCAATTCAATTCTTCTTTATTTTATTTTTCTTTTTTCTGGGTATAGGTATTTCCATGCATGGCAATTAATGTGTGATACATATAATTAAAGGAATGTTTATTATAGATACTGTAACTCAGACGGCAGCGCTGCAAGCATTGACAGATAGAGAGGGAGGGACTGGAGGTGGTCACCCAGTGGCAGTCCACGGCTAGCACACTCTGGGGATGATCAATCAGTGCAGCCTAGAGTCTTGGGGTGGTCATTCATGCAGCCAAATGTTGACAATGGCATAGTCTGGAGCCGAATACTCAGTGAAGCCTACTCTTAACAGTGGTAGAGTCTTGGAGTAGTCACTCAGTGAAGCCTACTGTTGACAGTGGCAGAGTCTTGGGGTAGTAACTCAGTGAAGCCTACTGTTGACAGTGGCAGAGTTTGTGGGTAGTCACTCTGTGAAGCCTACTGTTGACAGTGGCGAAGTCTTGGGGTAGTCACTCAGTGAAGCCTACTGTTGACAGTGGCAGGGCAGAGTCTTGGGGTTGTCACTCAATAAAGCCTACTGTTGACAGTGGCAGAGTCTTGGGGTAGTCACTCAGTGAAAACTACTGTTGACAGTGGCAGAGTCTCGGAGTAGTCACTCAGTGCCTACTGTTGACAGTGGCAGAGTTTGTGGGTAGTCACTCAGTGAAGTCTACTGTTAACAGTGGCAGAGTTTGTGGGTAGTCACTCAGTGAAGTCTACTGTTGACAGTGGCAGAGTCTTGGGGTAGTCACTCAGTGAAGCCTACTGTTGACAATGTCAGAGTCTGTGGGAAGTCACTCAGTGAAGCCTACTGTTGACAGTGGCAGAGTCTGTGGGTAGTCACTCAGTGAAGCCTACTGTTAACAGTGGCAGTGTTTGTGGTTAGTCACTCAGTGAAGCCTACTGTTGCCAGTGGCAGAGTCTGTGAGTAGTCACTCATTGAAGCCTACTCTAAACAGTGGCAGAGTCTTGGGGTAGTCACTCAGTGAAAATTACTGTTGACAGTGGCAGAGTCTTGGAGTAGTCACTCAGTGCCTACTGTTGACAGTGGCAGAGTCTGTGTGTAGTCACTCAGTGAAGTCTACTGTTAACAGTAGCAGAGTTTGTGGGTAGTCACTCAGTGAAGTCTACTGTTGACAGTGGCAGAGTCTTGACGTAGTCACTCAGTGAAGCCTACTGTTGACAGTGGCAGAGTCTTGGGGTAGTCACTCAGTGAAGCCTACTGTTGACATTGGCAGGGCAGAGTCTTGGGTTAGTCACTCAATGAAGCCTACCGTTGACAGTGGCAGAGTCTTGCGGTAGTCACTCAGTGAAAACTACTGTTGACAGTGGCAGAGTCTGTGGGTAGTCACTCAGTGAAGCCTACTGTTGACAGTGGCAGAGTTTGTGGGTAGTCACTCAGTGAAGCCTACTGTTGACAGTGGCAGAGTCTGTGGGTAGTCACTCAGTGAAGCCTACTGTTTCCAGTGGCAGAATCTGTGAGTAGTCACTCAGTGAAGTCTACTGTTGACAGTGGCAGAGTCTTGGAGTAGTCACTTAGTGAAGCCTACTCTTAACAGTGGCAGAGTCTTGGGGTAGTCACTCAGTGAAGCCTACTGTTGACAATGGCAAAGCCTTGGGGTAGTCACTCAATAAAGCCTACTGTTGACAGTGGCAAATCCTTGGGATAGTCACTCAGTGAAGCCTACTGTTGACAGTGGCAGAGTATGTGGGTAATCACTCAGTGAAGCCTACTGTTAACAGTGGCAGAGTCTGTGGGTAGTCACTCAGTGAAGTCTACTTTTGACAGTGACAGAGTCTTGGTGTAGTCACTCAGTGAAAACTACTGTTGACAGTGGCAGAGTCTTGGGGTAGTCACTCAGTGCCTACTGTTAACAGTGGCAGAGTCTTGGGGTAGTCACTCAGTGAAGCCTACTGTTGACAGTGGCAGAGTCTTGGGGTAGTCACTCAGTGAAGCCTACTGTTGACAGTGGCAGAGTCTGTGGGTAGTCACTCAGTGAAGCCTACTGTTGACAGTGGCAGAGTCTGTAGGTAGTCACTCAGTGAAGCCTACTGTTGACAATGGCAGAGTCTTGGGGTAGTCACTCAGTGAAGCCTACTCAATGAAGCCTACTCTTAACAGTGGCAGAGTCTTGGGGTAGTCACTCATGCAGTGAAGCCTACTGTTGACAGTGGCAGAGTTTGTGGATAGTCACTCAGTGAAGTCTACTATTAACAGTGGCATAGTCTGTGGGTAGTCACTCAGTGAAGTCTACTGTTAACAGTGGCAGAGTCTGGATGTAGTCACTCAGTGCAGTCTACTAGTGGCAGAGTCTGGAGGTAGTCACTAAGTGGCAGCCTACTGTTGGTAGAGTCTGGTGGTAGTCACTTAGTGCAGCCTACTGTTGACAGTGGCAAGGTCTTCAGGTGCATGGTCATTTAATGGCAGTTTAGTGTTGGCAGAGACTGGAGCCGGTTACTCAATGAAGTCTACTGTTGACAGTGGCAGACTTTGTGGGTGGTCACTCAGTGCAACCTACTATTCACAGAGTCCGGGGGTGGTTATTCAGTGCAGCCTATTGTTGGCAGTGGCAGAGTCGGTCATTCAGTGGCAGCCTACTGTTCGCAAAGTCTGGAGGTGGTCACTTAGTGCAGCCTACTGTTAGCAGTGGTCGAGTCTAGAGGTGGTCATTCAGTGGCAGCTCACTGTTGGTAGTCTGCAGGTGGTTACTTAATGCAGTCTACTGTTGACAGTGGCAGAGTTTGTGGGTGGTCAGTCAGTGCAGCCTATTGTTGGCAAAGGTTGTTTGCGTTAATAAATATAGAATCCTTTGTAGTCGTCAGGTCTACGGTATTAACAAGGTAACATTTTTGACGAGTTCCCCTCGCCCTTTTGTAAACAGCTGACTATACCATGTCACTGCTGATGAATTGCATTTAAAAATTTTCACATGAAATGAGAGAATATTTTCTGGATGATCTGTTCCTGGCTTGTATGAATGAAGTTATACATACATTTACAGAATACATACATTTATAGAAATATGTGTTTTAGAAAGCACTGTTACAACGCAATTTGAAAAATTAAGCACTTTGATAAAAAATGTCAAAGTGCTTTAAATTTTGGACCCAGTTAACGCACTTTGAAAAATAAAATTTCTTTTCAAAGTGTGTTAATATCGACCATATTAACGCACTTTGAAAAAAAAATGTTCACGGCTTGGTCAATATCCTTGCAAATTTTAGGTATGGTAAGTAATTATTTGAACCTTATTGGACAAATCTTTGGCGACGACGTCACTTCAGGGTCCGAGATATAGACGTTTTAAGTTTTTAGGGGTTGTCTTGCTCCCAAAAGTTCTCGTAATTGTTATAAAAGGGAAATGGGTCTTTTAGAAATAATGGAGGAATGATTGTTTAATAGCACAATTTCGTTTCTTTTATAATTTAATCAAGTCTGTAATAAGTTCGGTAGATGTAGGGGGTCGATAAGTGACTTAAAACATCGCATTTTTTTTTTAGGGAAAAGGGAGCAAATATGATTTTATTCTCTATCTCTCTATCTGTCTCTATCATATTCATCTATCTATCTATTGATTAGTATTATGAGGTATGAAAAAATATTTATGCATTTTATACATTTTTTTTTGGATCTGTATTGTATTTGATTTTGTAAAGCTACTTTGGCCAAAGTATAGTTAGTTGGCTATTGTTGCTTAAATCAGCGATATGGCCCCTGGGCATCTCTTCCTTAATATAATAGAATTGCGGGGTTTTTTTCGGGAAAGCTTATCTCAGTTTTTTTTTTTTTCATCTATTGTACATTAACTAAAATTTATTGAGAGAAAGTATATCAATACCAGTTATTTAAATACATACATTTGGGTAGGAAAGACAAGAGTTGGGCTGAGGGACCTTCTACCTGTCGGCTCCTCATTCTCGATGAGGGTAGATCAATTCATCAGTTATTTTCGAAAGAAATATAACAAAATAATGCTATTGTTAAATTCCAAGTCCAAAATGTTGATGTACACTCGTAACGCACTTTGAAATTTTTTTTAAAGTGCATTTGTTCCAATTTTAACGCACTTTGATTTTTTTTTTCAAACTGAGTGCGTTACCACAAAGCACTTTCAGAAACACACGAGAGTTATCTTCCTTACGGCACTGATTGGACACTCATTCAGCAAACCTCGGCCGGCTCGGATTAGATAGTGTGGGGATGCTTTACTTTTTCTTGTGAATTAATTTCTTAGTTCTAGTAGCTTTTAAGTTAATCATATCAACAGATGGAATTGGTGACATTACTATATATTTTGGGGGAAAAAATTACAGACTAGCTTTTAATTTACTCCAATTCGATTTGGCGTTTTTGCCAATTCATAACTTGATATTACTGATAAGAATGTATGATATATCAGCTATAGTTATGTCAAATGAGTGATATCACTGATCCGTCCAATAGGTTATATCACCTATTTCAAATTAGTATCTTCTCCCTTTATTACACACTAGAAAATACAATCATTATCCATTACAAGATGCGCATGTTTTTTTCTGTTTTTTTTTTTTTTAATATTACTTTTTTTTTTTAAAGAAAGTTGCCTAGAAGGAAATAACGAGAAATTTTCTTTCATGAATAAAAATGAGAGCTAATAGGGGTCAATTGTGCGTCTTTCAGAACTACGGTACATTTAATACAATGCGTATGACTTTCCTGCACTGTAACTGAAAATTACATTTTAACAATACTTTGTCGGAGTATTTCCTCTTTTGTTTTTTTTCTTTTTACCTGAATGAATCATTGCATCAAATGCAGTCTTATTCTTTGAAAATTGTGACCAAGAAAAAGTTCCAGATTACTTCGCATTATCAATAATATGACTTCCCCACTCATAAATGTGTCATTTCTTTTTGGCATTAAAAACACTAAACAAGCAATAAAATTATTTGAAAGTCTTAATACTAATAGTATTTTACTCATTTTACTTCAGAATGGTCAAAGTTATATATTCAGAAAAAAAAAATTAAAGGTGGAGGTCGACATGTATATTTTAAAAGGCTAAATTGAGGTTATTTATTTAAATAGCAATATATTATTTTAATTATTAATCTAATAAATTAATAATGTATTTTGGAAAACAGACCAAAAGCTAACGTTAAATATTCCACTACACGAAACACATGCAATTCAGAGTGTAGTCGGCATGGAAATCTAGGAAGCAAGACTTAACAGTATTAATTAGTCAGTATTTTTTTTTAAATAGAAAATTTATCATTTTCTTCTAGAAAACCTTCTTCCACAATATATATTTCCCCACTTTATTATTTATTTATGTATTTGATTTAATATCCAGTGATATAAATACATTGGAGGTGTTTTTCCGAGCATGCCGAAAGGTCCGAGAAGATGCGATTGGAGATTTCCCCGGAAGACTGGCAATATAGTGAATTTTCCCCCTCGGCAGATTGACAATGTTGTGGGACCCCCCCCCCCCACCTTTATCCCGGACCTGGTTATATAGTGAGACCCCCACCCCACCCCCCCACCCCCACCCGGAGAAGTCTCATTCTATAGCCATTCTTCCGGGGAGAAGTCTTACTATATAGCGAGTCTTCCGAGGAGAAGTCTCAATATATAGCTAGGCCCACCCAACCCCCGTCAATTTTGTTTTCCGAATATAAATTCTGTTCTTCGGTACCCTCCTTTTTTAATTTAAACAAAGATAGCGCTGTAGCCATTGTTATACGTAACTGATCACTGAACCATTGGTTTATTTTTCTTAATCAATACATGTAAATAGTCCAGTGCTGCACGGGGAGAGGGACTTACTAGTATTACATAGTAAATTTTTAGGGAAAACACATTTTAAAATGTTATATTTTGTACCAAATGATTCATCTAGTCATATTTCACAGCTTCTTTGAGCAAATTAAAACAAGTATCGGGAAAATATATCCCTTTCCTATATACCACAAACCCTATATCATATCAAGTGCGCCCAGACCCAAATCAAACGCACCCTCATTCTTTAAAGTTTTGACAATTATTGGTATATAAAACGGTTCCTGAAAAAATAAAATATCGAGGATATAAATCCACATCAAACATGTAGGGGGCGGAGCCTCACTCTGGTACTGGCTATATCACTCTAGGAGAAAGATTCATTATAGAGCCAGTAAAGGCATCTTCAACTTTGCGTAGTGGGTAATTTAACGGTTGAATGATTGGCTGGCTATATAATGAGTTTTTCTCAGTTCAATACAGTTCAAGATCAGTTGTATATTTACATGATAAATACCCTTTAATGATAAGTTGCATCATAGTTTTTCAGTTTAAGTTCACATTTGGATGAAATTCCAACATGATTTTATTCTTATGAGTGATAGCACTATAATTAGAAAACAAGAAAAGAAGACCCAGTTGTAACTTTTTATATCTGTTTTATTGTCATTTGATTCCTCATTGTATAATCAATTGCACATTGAGTATTTCATATACACATGTTGCTCAATAACAATATATTAAACAAATAACAATATTTTTGTATTAAAAAATCACAGTATCACTGTTCCAGAAATAAACCACCAGAGTTCTGGCTGGACAAGGCAGTTATCTGCCCATAGCAATACTGGTAGTTATCTGCCCCTAGCGATACTGGCAGATAAATATCACAGCACCTATAATGTTTATATAAAAAAATCTTCTGGCAAAATGTAAAACTGGCCCACAATATGTGGACAATACCACTAGTAAAATGACAGGTTCATGATTTCTGATATGTAATTCATTAGTTTGTGTGAACAATATAAAAATAAAACCGGGACCAGTCATTTCATTATAGGATGTACATAGAAGTTCGTTGTGTTTTATCCGTGCATTTAGAATGGATGGAAAATTTTTTGAAATACTAAATTATATCAACATGAATCAAAATTCTATATTTCCATGATACAAAGATAAAATGTGATATAATGCTAAAGGTATCTGCCCTATAAATTGACACAATCAACTTTCAAATATCAAAAAGCAAGAGAGAAGGCACAAAACAATAAAATATTGAAAATATTAGAATAAAAAGAATATGCTTTATACTGATTCTGGAATACAATTGATGGGAAAATAAACAATAAATTACAAACATGAATGTACTTGTAACCAAGTAGAAAATGGGTCACAAAACTGACCAGTTTACGACTGTTTGTCAGATATCGTTGTTTTTAACAAATTGACCAGTATATTTTGTCTGTCAATCAACAACAGACATAGGATGTACATATTGATGAAAATCCATCACCTCCACCGAATCAGACAAGATTCACTTCTTCAGTCTGTAAAACAGTTGCTGAAAGACATTATTGTGTCACAGGATCACAGAAACAACCTATCTCCCTATTATTGCTGAACAGCACAAAGCTGGGGACTCCTACCATTAATCATTCAACGAACAACCCAACAACAATCCTTAAATTAACAGTATCCTTCTTTAAGCAATCACAAACAAGTCTTAGGATCTCCCACTCAGCAGTTTCCACTCAGCTATTTGTTCATTGGTTGTGATGTAAGATGTGCTGACCAATCACAGACTATATGCACAGGGATGATGACAGAAGCAGACAACAGTTGGTCCTAGCTGAAGGCATCTTCTGCAGGAGGGACATAAGAAAATCCTTGGAACATGTTGTCAGCTTCCATCACACTGGCGCTAACTAGCTTACAGCTCCCTACAGACTTTCCAACTGAAGCTGAAATTAAAATATCAATCATTAGTAATTTCTCAGTCAAACTCAACACTCATATGACATGTTTCTCACCCATAAAAGTTTAAACAAATAATATATGGGCAGATATCTCTGGTTTTCTGTAAAGGGATTGTACAATATATCAAAACTGGGACCAAAAAAAAAAAGATTAATAACATGTACATGTATTAATTTGTATTAATTTCTTGGTCCAATAAACAAAATTTTACAGAATTTGACTTGTACTGATGATCTAACTTACCAGGTACTGGTTCTCGAACAAATTCTGGATCAAAGTGCTTTAAATCAAGCTGACCACTCTGAAAGGAAAATAATGAAAATTTAATTCATGAAATTTTGGAAAAGTTATTTGATCTTTGATATCTTCCTGTTTGGGTGAGGTATCTTGGTAAAATGCAACCATGTTGGACTTACTGTTTGAGATAAATATTTAAAGTTTACCAAATATATTTTATTATAACAGTACCTTGATCTGAAGAGCCGTATCACATCGAGTTGACAGGTGAGGATGATGAGATCAAAAGAGAGTTTGATCTCATGATCCGTGCCTGTCAACGAGACCTGATCAAGTTACTGGTATGATGATAAATTTATTGTATACCCCTCTATTATTAGCTAAATGTAAAAGAAGAAAACTTTTAGGATCAATTATACAACTTTTAACTATTAAACAAAACACTTTTTCATTGAACTTTTTGGTGCACAAGAAAAAAATGCCATGTATACTGTGTACTACGTCATCAGTTTCAGAGAGGGGTGATATGGATTCAGAAAACCAGTGTGGTGATCTGGAAAGTTGGGATCACACCGTCATATGGTTGTATGAAGTCAACAGTAAAACTGAGTGATACACAGTTGGGTATATAATAGTTGTTTTTTTACTGTTTGAGATAGATATCTAACTAAATAAAAACCTACCACGTTGGGGTTATATGGAGGATTAATCTTCTTGCCGTCCAGATCGTCCCAATTCATGTCAGCAAAGAAATTATGATTGCGGATCTCCTGGAAATCCCTCTTTGAGCCCAGTCTCTGTTCCTTCTCTTTTTGTAATAACTAAATTCATACATAAACCTTAGTTAATTGCCAACTATTAATTTTTTACTTTACAATAGTTTAATTAATTTACAATAATTCAGTGATGATTTTTACTGAACAACCTTCATATTTAATACTTGCTTATAAGGAACTCTGATACAAGGAATATCTAAGTTATTAAGAAGTTAAATCTTTTCCCCATCCCTTATATAATTATAACATTTTCTTAAATGAACCTATGAGGAGCTAAAAATTCATGTCCACAGGACTTCCTTATAAGCAAGTTTTACTGTAAGATTTCCAGTGAATTTAATTAATAAATGTTGTATTTTTTTAGGAGTCACTTGCGTGAGTTGTATTTTCTGATACTCACCCCATCTAATATCTGTCTCGCAGACTGTGATACGTTAGTTCGTAGTCGGAGCGGTTTATATAGGATATTGTCATACATCTCAGCTGTGTCCCGACTGTAGAACGGGGGCTGAATAATAGATATAAAAATAAACCATACATACACACCGAAATTTACAATTAACTGGCTTAAATCCTGAAATATTAGTAAAGGCTATTTATGTGACATTTGAAATGTATAAAAAAAATTCCTATTGATATGACAAACTTTGTAATTAATAAAGATGTTGGAACCACAGCACAAAGACTTCTTACAATTCTGAGTTTAGAGTACATAGGTTACATACCAGTCCATACATCATTTCGTACATAACGGCCCCCAGACACCACCAATCTACTGTCTTATCATAGGGCTGCTTCCGCAACACTTCAGGGGCCAGGTACTAAAACATAAACCAAACCAATCAATTATTACTTAATTAACATTTACCTGATCTGCAAGTCAAAGACTAAATGTAATAGGTGTTAGTCGGTGCCCCGGCACCTGTTTTTATTTTGACATGAAAACAAGAATTGTGACAGTACTTGGTATGCATATAGAATAGCATACTACGTAGTTATATGAACCCTCTGTCCATTAGGACCATATGTTATCCGATAATTGTGGCATTTGTAAAAAAAATAATAATAATAATAGTAAAAACACATACAAAAATCAAATTTAAAAAGATAACAAAACCTGAAAAATTTTCTTATGAAAATGTGCATATTTAACAATTATTCACTGGGCAGGAAATTGCTTTCAATACAAATTGAGTTTATGTGACAATTAAAAGTTTCTTGACATAAGATGCATTAACTAGAGTTCTTCGGTGCGATGTCAACAACCAGAGAATGAATTGTTCTCATAAATACGCACTATGTTACATCATGTTAATTCATGTTAAGTGTTTTTTATTCATATGTCACTTTGTGGTTTCTAAAAAAAATTTTTTTTTAAAACCCCAGGCTTTGACTACTAATGTTAAGATTAGAAGTAAGTATGTATGCTAATTAATTAAAATCCTAATCTGCCTCCCTGCAGGTGAAAAAAGAAAAACTACTTCCTTGTTCATCAATCCTGAATATGCACTGAGAAAAATTTAACTGATATTCTCAGCTTGTTTAGGGGTCTTAACACACAGGGATAGAATGATGTCAATAAACAGAAAGGGGAAACTGTCTAGATCATATCCAAGGCCAAAGGAGGATAAGGCACCACAGCCGTCCTGCTTTTCCACAATTTAATTTCACAATTCAGCTTTTCCACGACTACTTCATACTGCCTTTCCACGATTGGTTTTAACTATAAGTTGTGTGCTATCTCCTTTATTTGACACTTCATTTTCATGATTTTTCAATGGCCACATAGCACTTAATAGTACTTAACATCCAATAGTTGCCTATATTTACCTGTATTTTTTGTTATTTCCTCATAGAATTCTAGTCAGTAGTAGTGAGTATGAGCTCACGGTGCAATAAAAAATTAAAAGAATGAATTTCACAGTTCACTCTAGTCGGTGATAGTTTTCGGAAGTCATGAAAATTATCCATACTGAAACAAACTGTGGTGATCTATGTATAATATACACTGAATGTTTTAAATAAAGGTGAAGTTTCTTACCAACGCAGAGTAAAAAAGTATGCAAAGCTACAATTTCAACTGATGCAAAAGGAGTTGCAGTGGTAAGACATTTACCAAGCAAATGAAAGTACATTATAAATTAAGTTGTAGAAAAGCAAAAATTATAATCATGGAATAGCAGTACGATTTGTCGCGGAAAGGAGATTTTTTTGTTTCAACACAGAGTCGAAACACACAACAGTGAAACAGCGGGCACCATGGGATGTGAACATGGAGAAACCCTGCAGACAAAAAAACAGGGCAGGAACATGTTTTTAACCACAGCAAATTGTTAGACATGAACTTTATTAAAATATTGATTTGGTAATGAGCATACTGCATGTTTACATAATTAGTTATGAGTGTCACCTTGATTTAAATCTCAAAAAATCCTCACCTAATGCCATAATTAAGATTTGATCATGTGAAATTTAAAAACAAGATTTTCATATCAAGTTCTCAGGAAGTTAAGTGCCTGATCCATGACACAATCTATGTAATTAAGTTTAATTACCTGTTGTTGTTTTTTTAATAAATTATTGAACTGAGTGAAATTTATTACCATTTTTGATTAATTATGAATTTGGCATTGAAAATAATGCCAAGAAATTATGACAGTCTGCGACTGTTATGAATATTTTAGGAATGTCTAACTTGGCTTACATAATCCCAAGTCCCTCTTAATTAAAATTCACTCTTAAGGTCACTAATAAAGGCTACATACCTCTGGTGTCCCACAGAAAGTGTTGGTCGTCCCCATGCCCTCGATCCCCTCCTTACACAGACCAAAATCTGTAAGTGTTATATGACCCTGTAAAATTAACCATCAAAAAATTACAATTAAAATCCTCAATAGATCAGATACTAAAAAATAGATTTTACAGCTTTATTTTAAGTATTCATCAGAATAAGGTACAACTAGATGTACTCATGGACATGGATCAATCTGTAGCAATTTACCTTAGAATCTAGAAGAATATTTTCTGGCTTGAGATCTCTGAAAAACACAAGAAATGCCACACATAAAAGACTTTACTAAGAATAATGTCAACATATATAAATTCAGTTGCTTACAATAATATTCACAATGCTTGAGTCAAAGTCTTAAGGACTGCTTTTGCTTTTTAAATACAAGTAATATGATAGTTCCTTTATTCAAATGATTAGTTAAATGTTTACATTTTTAATTGTAACCACGAAAAATTAAAAACTATCATAATTTGAAAGAAATTGAAAAATAGTTTTCTTTAGTACAATAAGCCAATACATATTAGCATTGCTTTCAGATTTGATGGAGAAATAAACACACTAAATATGTTTGTGGAAAGAACCTGTACACTCTATGAACATGCAAACCAAATTTTTCAAGGACCAAAAAAAAAAAAAAAAAAAAAATCATTACTAAGGTGTAATGTTGAAGTAACGCAACAATTTTAATTACCATGTTGTTGAAAAAATAAGTTAAAAGCTCTAGAATTTTCTAAGAATTGCATATTCATATTGTCATATGCATCTCAAAATATTTACAAATACCTTGAATTCTTAAATGTAATTTCATTGTTTCACTGTATTAATTTAGAATCTATTTTACACAAATGTAAATTTTAACAAGGAAATGAAATCAGTGTGGTCTTGGGTTTCAGCTTGTCAGTATGTAAATACGGCTAACAGTGACACGAGGCATGTTACCCTGTCTTTTTACCTACACCAAAAAATAGTCTCACCTTCCAATTCATTAATCAACATTTACCAGTAGTTAAATAAAGGTTGTACAAAATAGGACCGGAAATGGTGGTAAAGCAAATGTAAGTTAGTGAAATTCATAGCCCCTTAACATTGGCCCTACCATTAAAGACATATGTTGTAGAAAGCACTGCCTGTACAATCGTGACAGGGGCCATGTACTTCAGACCTATTTGTCATCAATACCAAATACAGACATAAGACCATGCATGTATACTACTGCACTTGGGAAAATTCTCTTGTATGCATTTCCCCAGAATTAATCATTTTTTTCACAAAAGCAATGTACACAAAGAACAGGGAGAAATCAATTACACCACCTCCCTCCTTCTTTACCTAGAAATTTAAGATTCAAATATAAATATTCAACAAAAGACTTTCAAATAAATGGCTAATCCAGGCATGATTGCATAATGTTGTCAGAACAGAGATTTTTGAGTAGTGACACAATCAGTACCTGTAGATAATGTTTAAGGAATGCAGGTAACCAATGGCACTGGCCATTTCAGCAGCATAAAATTTGGCTCGTTGTTCTGGAAAATATCGCTCCCTCTGAAGATGGAAAAACAGCTGAAATAGATGGAAAAATACTGGATGAAAAATTAAATTATATGAATTCTGTTGTGTCATTTATTTTGTTTATAGGACTTCTAAATATGGAATCCTGCTTCAACAAAAGGCCTGGAGCTATACAATCTGAATATCATTATTTCATATGCGGGGCTAACTAGTACTTCAGCACCATGACGTCAGGGTTGTCTTATTGTCTCCCCTTAGCTGTCAATCAGGCCTCTGTTGTATATTTCTTAGTTCTTACAGCAATTAACAAAAATGATCAAAGATTTGAAAAATATATTTTACAGAAATAGAAGCAAAATCATAATCATGTAGAAAAATAATGACACCTGCAAACAAAAACCAAAGTATGGTAAAAATAAATGCAGACTGTTCTGGATTCAAAATTAATTTAACAAAAATAGTGCAGAAAACTAGAACATATTATGTTGTGAAATAATGATATGCAGTATTATAACAGAGACAGGTATGATGAACAGAGAATGTTCTAGTTTTTTTTTTCAGTTTCTGATATAAAGGACAGACATCTTTTGTCTGAAGATATTACAGAAAATAAAGAGAACAGTGAAATTCTAAATAATGTGTCATTATGTAGACAATAATTTTTAAAGGTGAAATATATGATTTAGAAGAGTTAATTATCAGCTGTGGTGGAAGTTAAAAACCTAGCAGACTTTGTTGCCAGTAACAGAGACATAAATCTCCGAGGTTCACTCTCCTATCTGACATATTGAGACCAGCCTAAGACCTGGGTTAACACTTGATGATTCATTAATTAAGTGACATTTACATGTTATATTTAAGATCGATCATCAGGTGAAAACTTTGTGGGGTTGTGGAGATTTTACCCCCAGAAAAGGTAAAAAAAAAAAAAAAGTCTAGATGTCAATTGACAGGTGTTAACTCTCAAATCCCAGTGGGTATGACATTCATCAAATATAAATTAAAATGTTGAGGAATGATAAAAATAAGCAGTAGGTGACAAAAGGTACTCACCTCTCCTCCATTAACATAATCCAGAACAAAGTATAATTTATCCACTGTTTGGAATGAGTAGTGAAGTCCCACTAGAAATGGATGTTTGACATTTTTCAGCAGTACATTCCGTTCTGACATAATATGTTTCACTTCATTCCGTTTCATGATTGCCTGTTTTTGTAGCACTTTGATGGCATAAATGTTCCCCTCATTTTTATTTCTTGCTAGTAATACTTTCCCAAAACTCCCCTTTCCAATAACTTTTAGGAATTCAAAATCACTGGGTTTAACACTGCAATGCAAATTACACATAAAAATTTGATGCATTGATGTTAAAGGATCTTTCTCTCTCATTTATAATAAACTTATAAAATTTTTATGCTTATAATTGCAATATGTCTATAAGTGTTAAAATATATTTCTTCACTCATAACTTTTAACTTACGTTTTCTTTTCACTGGGTCCTAAATTGACCGGGTTGACATCTCTTTCATTCTATGAAAATTTAATTTATGAAAAATTAATGATCTCATTTGAATTACTTCAATTCAAAGTTGGTATATTTTTCTTCAAATAAACAGTTTATTAACCGTCTCACCATGGCTTCCGAATCATCAAAGTTGTCTACAGAGTCCTGCACATTCCGCGGATTATCCAGATTCAGGAAAGCTCGCACTTCCGGACTGCAATTAAAAAAAAATATAATTAAGAAATTTTAATTTCAAATTATAAGGCTGGGAAACACAGTGCAGAGTGGTGATGGTTCCTTAATTACCATGATGTCGAGTGAGGTAATGAACCCTGTTCACTGATTTTGGACCTCTTTCTGCTCCAAACTAAAAATACATCCGCTAGGTTCCTCAGCTTCATAACGAGTGACAGCCCGACACCAGTGCTGGGTCATTTTCTCTCCATGATTTAACAATCTAATTTTTTTTACCTGGAATATGATAATGAGAGACTTCTACCTGTTGACTCTCTGGGATTGTAATTCAGGTGTATCAGCATATCCTATAAAGGTGTAATATCACTCTAGGGGTCACATCGACGCCATAACACACATTATGTCCCCTGGGCCCCTTACGTAGACCAATTATTACTAATGTGGTACAAATAAGCACAGACAACAACAGATGACAATTTAAAGTGGACAATTTAATCTGAGGTTGTCAAAATAAACAGATATTGTTACAAAATGTTGTATTAAACACTTATAGGGGACAGACAAACAGCCACAAGACTGACATCAGAGTCCCAATGTTCCACTCCAACTACTTATACAGTCTTAATACCTTAGATATACAAACAAATAAGCAATCATTTACATACAGAAGTCACTATGAATTCAATATGCACTGAATAGCCGCCATAAATCAAATTTATAATGCCAAGTGAAACTTTGCTGAATAATTACCTGATACAAATGAAAATAAATCCTATATCGTCTTGTGAAGTAACATCTTCTAGATTGTGGAAAATCACTGAAGTGATACTAAGTATATAATGTGCAAATAAAACACTGTACTTCTTTAACTACTGTCGAATGAGAGGTTTACGTATCAGTAGCTCATTCACAACATTCATGACTGGCGTGATGCAACAAGTGTCCCACTTTAGCCCAGATCTCGGCCCTCACACCAACCTCTGACCAGTTATGATATGTCACAAACAGTAATTTTTTTTTACCCTTTTCACCTATCCCTTCTCTGACTGAATGAATATATGTGAATCAAAGGTCAATATGTCATTTTCTGTCCCGGGGTGTTACCAGTAACAAAATACCAAGCTTGCATTTACAAATGAAGACATTGTAAGACCTGATTGTATAATATCTCTATCTCTCTTATTTATCTTTTTCTTCAGCTTATTGTAGAAGCCGGTAAACACACTGGTATATAATTAAGATGGATTCAGTTCTAAACACACTTTAAACATTTAAAAAAAGAAGAGAGAGAGCTCACCTTTGGTTACTTTAAAAATTCCATATAACAGAAAACATAACCACAGCTAAGAACAGAAGAAAAAACACAAAAAGAAAACCAAGGAAAAAAAAAATAAAAACTTGGAGTCACAGCTGAGTACTATAGGGCACTGTTCTGTCGTTCTACACAATGTGTTTCAACTGACACCTTTAGCTGTCAATCTATCACAGGTAAACCTCTCTAGCTGTCCATCAACTGAAGGAAATAAAGCTTCCCCTACAATATCTATATTGTATATATAAAGAACTTATATTTATGTCACTTTAGTAATGAACAACAATATCTTATAATCACCACTCATAACAATTTACCTAGGTATATAGAGGTTTAATTAGGGGATATATTTAATACTCTAAATCTCTTAAACAGTTAAGACAAGTTGAAAGGACTTTAAATTTTATTTAGAACTGTAACAAACACCTCTTACACCAAATTTTCTTTTAAAGATTTAAATAATTAAGGTGTGAGTGAACCTTATGGACATTATATCATGGTTACAAGTTAATTCCTCACCTTAATCCCAGCTAGAAGACAAATTCCAATAGAGAAGTAATCAGTGCCACTCCCATAAATGCTAATTAGATCAAAAATATGGTATTAAAAATTGCATAAGAACTGTCTTTTGCTACTTAATTCAACATATTTTTTTAATCACTTGATAAAACTTTGATGAGTACAGGAAAGGGGGGGGGGGGGCATAGTAGACCTTAGTTGTTTTTATTCAAAATTTATCAAAAATATGTATTTTCTATATCATTGATTTCTCAGAGCAACTTACGTGGTCTGAGGATTTTTTTTTTGAAAAATTAAATTTATATGAATAATGTTCATAAGTTGACCCCAGTTCATGCTCCTTAATTCAGAACATGACAAGATTTCATAAAATGACCAGGAACTGCTGTAACCTACTTATATGAATATATAGACTTGTGTACATCACAGGGGACTTCCTGTTCACATGACTATCAATAAACATACTCAAAACATGTCAGAAAGTGTTCTCACATTATCCCACAGGATTAATTAACAATGAAAATTAACGAGAATCCTGTTTTGAATTTGAAGGCAACAGATTTACATATAAAACCTGCAGGTACCAGTAGCTGTGTGAATTCAAGGTGTGCACATCTTCTGGATTTTATGATTTTTTGCCACAAAATTACGCATTTACTCTGTTTTGACACCAGTTATGTTCTTAATTTTCACACTATTTTCAGTGTTTTTTAACTAAGAAAAAGATTAGTCATTAATTGATGTTGGATTTAGAGTTTACAAGTGCTTCCCTCCTCCAAATAGTTTCACAGTCATTGAATGAAAACAATAACCTGATAATATTCCAAATCAAAGTGCATTTAACCTATGAATACTGTGATTTAAAATAAACTAAATAACTTTCTCACCATGTAGTGCTGTGATAAACTTACCAGGGAAAGCCCTGGTCCTATTATAACTGCTGTTAGCTTTAATTAGCAATACTTAAGATTCTTATCAAGAAAAATTCTATTTCCTTGTCTTCTGACAAAGCATAAATAATTTCTCAATTTGTAACAGTATTTAATGAGTCACCTCAATGTCAGCCACTTCAGGAAAAAAAAAAAAACCCAATATCACTGTGATCTACATCATCTTGATTTTGTGACCAAAGTTCAACATAATCTATATTCCAAATTAAGTAAAGTTTTGTTTATAAAAATTTACATTTATTTCATTTATTACTAATACATCATTAAAGCATAAACATGGTCAACCACAGACAAGATTTTACAGATAATTTTCCCCTATGAATAACCAGTTCAACCATGGATTTTCTACCATTTGTATATTAAGGTAACATTGCAATAAAAACAAACACTGAGAGTATTGCATATTACACAATACTTGTCACCAAACAATAAGTCTAGTTAAATATCATCAAACTGGTATGAAATGCAAACTTGACCTGAAACTAATTAGGGTAGACTAACACACTAAAAATCAGCTCAATATCTGTAATGTGTGTATAAAAATAGTCTGGAAAATCACCTGGTACAGACAGACAGACAGACAGGAAATCAATAGTCTTCTTACTCTCCTACCTTTTCAGTGGTACATCTGTCTTAGTAAATTTGCAGCTAAATTAAAGCATAAAAATACATGCAAATTAAGCTTAATATTACTTGAAATTAGTGCCTTCATTACCAAAAAATTGTCATGTACCATCTTTCAAGGCTTCAGAAAGCATCTATAACTGCAAATATCAGCTCTCTCTTTTCTTCCTATAATGTGACACTGAGCTTCAGTACTAATGAGTGGGAACACTGTGTCTATATATCTATACAGACTGCAGAGTTGGCTAAACTAGGACACCCTAACAAATCAGCTGTTTATGTAGTTCACCAGTCAGCACAATCTGAATCTCCACAGCTCAGATTTCCCAGGTTTATCAGGGATCTTATAGTAAAGTTATACAGACACATGAAGGGAATGGAGCTATTTTAGGAAACGGACAGAAAACCTTCTGTATTCTGCCAACTCATCAAATTGCTACAAGTAGTACATCATTGAATTCAAACAAACTCAGCATATGTAGTGTTTTTTATGCCCCCATAATCAAAGATTCGTGGGCATATAGTTTTTGCTGTCCTTTTGTCTGTCAGTCCGCCTGTTCATCTGTTGTCTCTTTGTCCACAAAACTTTAACCTTGCACTTAACTTTTGATTGGTTGTAGCTATGGCTTTCATATTTCCCATGTATATTCCTAGAGACAAGACCTTTCATTGGGTTTGATCACATTTGACCTCTTCATCTTGGAGTTTGACCCACTTAAGCAAAATTTTACCAAACTTTAACCTTGGGCGTAACTTTTGAACGGTTGGTGCTGGGGCTTTCATATTGCACAGGCATATTCCTTGTGACTTGACTTTCTCTTGGGTACTAACAATTTTGACCCTTTGACCTTGACCTTGGAGTTTGACCTACTTGAAAAACTTTAACCTTGGCCCTAACTTTTGAACGGTTGGTGTTAGGGCTTTCATATTTCAAATGTATATTCCTTGTGACAAAGACCTTCCCTTGGGTACCAACAATTTTGACCCTTCAACCTTGACCTTGGAGTTATTTCTACTTTTAAAAAACTTTAACCTTGGCCATAACTTTTGAATGATTTGTGCTGGGGCTTTCATATTTCAGGGGTGTTTTTCATGTGACAAGACCTTCTCTTATGTACCAACTACCAACAATTTTGACCTTGGAGTTTGACCAACTTTGGAAAACTTTGAACTTGGTTATAACTTTTGAACGGTTAGTACTAAGGCTTTCATATTTCACTTATGTACATGTATTCCAATTGACAAGACCTTCCCTTGGGTATCAATAATTTTGACCATTTGACCTTGGATTTTGACCTATTTTTGAAAAACTATAAATTTGGCCATAACTTTTGGTTGGTGCTGGGGCTTTCATATTTCACAGGTGCATTCCTTGTGACGAGAGCTTTCTTTGCATGGGTACCAACATTTTTTATCTCTTGATCTTTGAATCTGACTTGCACTTGAGAAAGTTAACCTTGACCATGAGCTACCATACAGGGGCATCAGTGTTTCACAAACACTATTTTTTCTGAGAGAGAGAAAGATCTATTGAGTTCAGGTGTACATTATTATTGTTCCTTTTAAAGTTCCTAAACACAAAACTCAAAGAATCAAAACATTTGTGTTCATTAAAATATCAATACTTAGGCTCCCCTAACACATGATGTTAAGTACCTGCCAAAGCAAAAGCTTCATTAACTTATGTTTTACCAACATGTGCATTTTATCAGAAAAGCTTTTCCTCATCAGAACATCAGTTTGATCATCAAACCTCCATGAAAGACAGCTAGCACAAAAAAAACAACAATTACTGAGAGAAGAAAATGTCAACAAACTTTTGTTGAAATAACAGAATATTAATAAGATGGAGAAAATTTATCCAAATTTATCTGAGGCTTGAGCAGTAGAAATGACACTGACGGCTATTCAAAAATGTCAATCTTTGATAAATATATAAACATAATCAAAAACTCAATCGTGTAACCTCAGAGACATTTAAAAATAAACTTCCATAGGGTCCAATTCATTGGATTTCAATTTTCTTAATCAAATAATAGATGTTAGAATTATTGTACTATGGGCCTGATCAGCAAATGTAGGCTATAGATCTTCTGATTCTAATTCTAAATGTATACCATTGCACCATACAACATATTTATAATTATGCACTTAACCTTCACACAAATTAAACTGCATTGTAAAGTCTGTAAACTGTGATCATAATATTAGCATACATATATTATAGTATTAGTTAGTAAATGTTTATATTCAAGTGATAAATCAGGTTCACACACACAGACTTGTACTGAATTATCACTCTGCAGTGTAAACCTGTAGTTCTTTAATACCAGAGTCATTTCTGTTTCCTAAATATTTGACTTTGACATGAGTGAAAACACTGCGATCAATGACATGAACAATTCCTTGCCTTGACCTTCATCCCAACCTTTGGCTTTATTCAGCTTCATTGAATATAATTATGAAAGGTCTCTGAAGTTCTTTGTATGGACCCTGACAAACAAATTAACAGACAGACAGACAGACAGACAGAGAAACAGCACAACTAAGTCCCTAGTCTTTGACTAAGTGATAGGGTCAGTGGGGGCTATAGATAGAAGTCTATTTTAAGTTTAGGATACTTACTGCTGTGAAAGCTTGGGGTTGGTGACAAGCTCCTGGATGAAGATGTCTAATCCCTCGCGTCGCTGCTGTATAAAGTCAGGGTCAAGGTTACCAAAGATCTTCTTACCAGGGAGACGAAGACTTGCCTCAGGGAACAATTTCTTCAACTGAAAAATTTTTATTCTAAACTTGTCACTTTGTTACAAAATTCTCCTGCTTCTATTATGTGGCACCATGGAGTACCAAAACAAGTGTAAAATTAAAGCACTGACTGAAAGTAATGATCGTATTAGCTGCATGTGACAACAAGTGCCCTTTCCTGTCAGATCAATGCACACAAGGTCACCAAAACTTCTCCATAATTGAGCAACAAATTGCCAAAACATCTGATCAAGTACATCAAGATAACACTCAAGATATATAGGGAGATTCAGAAGAGGATAGGAATGAATGGGGATGAGGTATGTCATAAACCCGCAGGAATTGGTTGTCATAATACAAAAGATGAAAAAATCTGCAGATGGGGCAATAACATAGACATATGGAGAGCTTTCTTTACTTAGCAAAAACAAACATGAAATCTTCATACCTAGTGCTCTTGCTTGTTCATGCTAATTGATTAAAAAAATGCCACGTATACAAACCTTATGTACATTAACAGAACAAAAACATAAAAATCCTATATCTTAAGACAAAGATAGAATGTGTTGAAATCTTGCCGACAAGTCTCTGCCAGGTAAATAATTAGTCATCAGGTCAGTACAACTGTCATCCAAAAATAGCTACAAGTTCTCTAAGACATTCCTTCTCTGAATGTTAATATAATACATGGAAACAGTATATATGGTAACTCATAGAGAAATTTACACAAAACTCTGCAACACCTCTATACGAACAATCAACTACAGTAGATCATCTAAGACATGAATAATCCATAGTCCCACATTAATTCTTCTGTGTTATAACTTAATTATTTCATGTACATTACTGGATACTAATTCCAGGTTGATCACCGTGCAGTTATACAAATCAGACTTGACCCCGTTCCCTTACTTAAGGTCAGACACATTCTGAATTTGATGTCAAATAGTGCTGAAGGTTTAAAGCTTATATGCCTCATAATTTAAATTATTGCAGACTTGTTCACTGATAAGAAGGAATCAATCATGCCGATCAATTCCACTTACTGCAGAAAGTATATCAGACATAATGCTAAGTCAAAGCAAACTGATATCTACCTTGGGAGTTTTAACTATACGTGCAAAACAATATTTTGATAATGGATACAGTACTTTAGAGATCAAACCTATTTCATATTCTATGGGATGCCATATAGACAATACTAGTATATGATAATAAAATACAAGAATAACACTACATTCTATTATTTTATGGGAACAGTACTATAAAACACAAAAAGATTGGAGCTCAGAAAGAGAAGAACATATGGAGAGGAAAAGGAGAGGATGAGAAGGATCAAATAAAGATCTGAACTCAAGACTTCCAACTGGGCTATTCTGTCTGGAAATCTGCCTGACTGCTTCAACAGTATAAATTATTAACTTAAAAAAAATGATATCACATAAAAAGGAAACACACAAAAAGCTATGATGTTATCATGACCTTTTGTACCATTACATGCATTCTTCTGTTGTTATCAATTCATACATAATCTCCAATGAACTGTAAAAAGATTGATCATTTTGGATATATCATATCATTTGCATAATGCACATGAAATTCAATGAGGGACCAGCAGTAATCATTCTTAATAGGACAAGCTGACATGAAAAACATCCAAGTTATCTGATTATTGTAATCATTCATGTACATTTTCAATAAAGTTATGACTTACTAGGAATAAATAAGAAAAAGTATCCCCTTCTTCTTTTAAAAAACATTAGTACCCTCTCCTTTCTTCCATTGGAATAAGTAAACGACAGGTACCCGCTCCTTCCTCCCAGAGGAAATTGAAAAAAAACAGGTAATCTCTTCTTCCTCCCAGAGGAATAAATAAAATAAACAAGAGGTACCCTCTCCTTCCTCCCAGAGGAAATCAATAAACAATACATAATGTCTCCTTCCTCCCAGAGAAAATCAATAAACAACAGGTACCCTCTCCTTCCTCCCAGAGGGAATCAATAAACAATATATAATGTCTCCTTCCTCCCAGAGGAAATCAATAAGCAAGAGGTACCCTCTCCTTCCTCCCAGAGGAAATCAATAAACAGAAGGTACCCTCTCCTTCCTCCCAGAGGAAATCAATTAACAACAAGTACCCTCTCCTTCCTCCCAGAGGAAATCAATAAACAACAGGTAATGCATCCTTCTTCTCAGTGGAAATCAATAAACAACAGGTAGTCTCTCCTTCTTAGAGGAATAAATAAAGAACTGGTATTTCCTCCTTCCTCAAAGAGGAATAATCTACAGGTACTCTCCTACCAGAGGCATAGATAAACAACTAATAACCCCCTCCCCTGAAAAAAAAACCTGAACCCCCCCCCCCCATTCCAACAAAATAAATTTAAAGGAATATGTATACAGTTAGATTCTTACTTGGGAGACATTTTTTGAAATTATGGTCACATTTGTTTCCACTATTCTGCAAACTGCAAACAATTAATTTAAACAAATAAGCATCCTTCTGGAAATATTTACATCAAGAAAATGTGTTGTTTATATATAATAGCACTAGTTTCTTACTATTTGTTGATAGCTTTTATCTTCTGACAACTGAATCAATTAAGAATAAAAAGTCCTTTCAGACATTGGATCTCACAGTAAAACTTGACAATCTACACCATTAATTAAGAAAAGTATTAATGAAAATAGGGTCCTTGAATGCTTTGCCTCATAAATGTAGTCAGATTTTGGTACAAAGCAATTATCCAGCTTTTAAGATGAGGGAGTTCCTCTCTTTTGATTTTAAAATGATTGTTTTTAGTTATTTTTTAATACAATGACTACCAGCAAACTATTGGGTTAAAACTCCTTGCATATGAGGTTTGGTGTAAAAGAAGAATTATAATATTAAAATCTGCATATTTATAAAATAATTTTTTCTGTAGATCTAAAGAATTCTGACTGTTCTTGTTGAAAAAGATCTGTTTGAACTCATCTCTAAATTTGGCAACAGTCAATCACATACTGTTCTCTATGTTTCTATTTAGGGCAGCATTTTAATGGAAAAATCATAAAAATATTAATTAAGAGTAATAAATGTCAAAGTACTTTTCATAACAAAGAAACATGTCACAAAAGTTGATGTTGTTGCTGTGTATTGGAAGGGGGGAGGGTAATAAGTGAGAACAGCTAAGGAGGAGTTATCGGACACTCTCAGGCAAACCCCTCTGATAAACCTCCCAGACCATGTCTGTTGACAAACAAATCAGCTGACTAACATGCAGAAGACACTACCTGTGCCAGCCCAGTTCTCATGTACTCACAGACCACATGGATTGTGTACTACAGTACAAACCAAAGATTACAAAATTAAACATTACACAAAGACTGATAAGTAGTCCCCCAAACCTGCCAATGGGTTCAACTTATGTTCAGTGACACTGGGGTCAATGCCTACTGGCCAATTACCGGAGTGTGTAGTAGATTACCTGCTTGTCAACTCTTCTAGGCCCAAGCTTGTGCATATATTGATATATGATAAAATAGGAACTAGAATGGGCCTTTTTGTTAAGATAAATGTTACTTACATTGGATTTCATTATTTGTAATCTTTTGAAAAGAGAACATGACGAATGTTTAAAGGTTACCATAACAAATAACATTTTTGAATGCCAAAATATTTTTTAAACTGTTCTCATTTTTCATTAGAAAAAAAAATTATGCCAAAAACAAACACCAAACACAAATGAAACAAAAACAATTTTTAAAAAACAACAAACTTGAAATCAAGAAAATGAACATTTTTACAATTCCAAAACATTGCATACCATCATTACTGGCTCTGATTTGAAATTTTTAACATATAAAATAATAATTTTTATTTTTAAAAAATGTGTATATAGCCACAGCAGTAAAATCAAAAGAACACTATATTCACTGTATACTAGAAATCTTTTTCAGTATCTAGTACTTTGTCCATGGTTACATACCTTTATACAAAATTTACTGAACTTCTTCTCTAGAGAAATCATCTGTTCTGGTTTGAATGGTCTGATGTAATTTCTAGAAAGCTTCAGTATTTGTGTGATTGTATGAATCTGATTTTAATTATGTTATATTTCAGAGTGGTATGTTCTACATGTCCAAGTTCTTTATTGGATGAAAATCACATGAATGTCTTTGCAACTCTCTGTTTTCTAATCCTGGAATTCAATGTTACTGCGCATTACAATTATACCGACTCTTATTTGTCAAATTAGCCTCTTTATAATTTTAATTATCTCACATTTCATCTGCAATTAAACCATATATGACTGAACACAAGGCTGTAGAATGTCTGTCTGTGTGTCTGAATACTAAGGTCATACAACCTATACTTCACACTGTTCCTTCCCCTCTGATAATTTTCCAAGTTATTCTTAATTGAAAATCAATGTACCATCACAAGTTATTGAACAAAAAATTCTGCATATATTTAATTTCCAGGAGTTTTGAACAGATACAAAAAATGATGAAAATCCTTGTGTTTTTTAAAGGAAAATTAACAAAAATATAGTTTTAGCTGGTATATTGTATTTCCTCAAAATTTGATTCAGAAGAGGTGTACAAAATTAGGAGGCATCATAAAACTGCACAAAAGTCCTTCAATTATTGGAATTCTTAAATTATACTGGGAAAAAGAAGATAAAGTTCAAAACTATGATGCTGCATATCTTTGAATGTTAATTAGTACGCAAACTTTGAATCTCGTCTGACAAAAGCATAATATTTGAATTTATCATTATCTCACACACTTAATGTATATTAAAGGATTTGACCATAAAAAATCATCTTAAATCTGATCATGGCAACCTTTACAATTTTGATTTTTCATAAAGCTGATCAGGGTATGTGGGATAGAAAATGTTTGTTTACATTTTGGATACTTGGAAAAGTTTACATTTTGTTTACTACAAAACAGAAAATATTACGTCAAATTCTACGGTTATAGTAGCTTATTTTTCTTTAAAAGAAAAACATATCAGATCAAGTTCTGATTACTTAA